CTTAAAATCCGACACTCCGACGACGCTGCCAACGATCTCGATCGTCGTAACGAAGTCAAGGAGGCATTAAACGGACGTGTTTTCTCGCAAGGGGTTGATACACGGCGCTCGAACGAACCAGATCCGAAAACCGGATCGCGGTAGTTATGCTCATTAGCAAAGCAGGAAGGCGCATATGACTTCGAGGACACGCAGAGGTCTGAGAACCGGGGCGAATTCGTAGCCTGTTCCGTATAACGTCGACGACCACGGTAAAACCAGACGAAAGCCGAGGAGTCGACCTCGGGAGGTGATAAGCCGGTGTCGAGTTTCGGCGGGTATGCGATTATTCGGTGACATTTCGCGGTTTGCGATGCACGAGCATGCACGAGCAACCTCGACATCGAATCCCGCGCAAATCGTTACGCAAGAACGAAAATCCGCCACGTCTCCGCGGCGTAAGATTACCGCCAACATTTGATAGGACGGTAATCCCGACCAGCACGAAGAAGCATCGACATCGGGACATTTGCATCGCGATAATCCACGAACCTGAATTTGGTCATTGATTTCAAAAAAGACACGAGTCCAATTTACAAAATTGTACGAACCTCAATGCAGCGTTTGTTTCTATTCCTCGCTCATTAGAATTCATGTCTTTACTTACACAACTTTCATAGAATAAATTTCAGAATAAGACTCCCTTATTAAAATGTCGCAATTAGGATTTCCTATTCCGTACGAATCTTTTCCACGAGATGAGAATTGTAATCTCTCTCTTAACAATTTCTATGAAATATTTAATAAAATTCCGAAAGACAGTCCTACGAGATATACAAACGAGAATACCTCTACAAAAACGTAGATGAAATCGCGGAGTATTAAAGGCGAGGGTCAAGGAACGTTTCATAATTCCCGAAAGCCACCGGCGGTATTATGTTCCAGGAAACGCGCGATAATCCTAGGAAGTGAAGCACTAGGAAAGCCACGCGGCGGTCATCGTGAGAAGTGGCAGACATCGTTGACCACGCCGCGCGCATCTAAATTTCCTCTCCGACCGTCCATCGCGTACGTATGTTGTACATACGTATACGCATACGTTGACATTGCCGCGACACGGCGGCACGTGCTGTATAAGCACAGGTGCCGGCGTGCGTGCATGCGTGCGCTCGTAAAGGCAAAAAAAGCCGTAGACGCGCGAGCGAGCGAGCGAGCGAGTACGAGAAGCCGGCAGACGCGAGATGGAAAAAAAAGAGCAGACTGGCAATAATAATCAAAGAAGTGACCCGAGCGAGCAGCCGGTAGAGCGCCACTTTGTCGGACCTGTCTTTCGAGTTTCGTCTCGTGCCACATACAGACAGGTCCGTCGCTTATGACGTACGCACACGCGTTCGTAGCGGGTACCCCGCGATACGCCCGATTTCCGGTTTGAGAAATGCCCGATTCCGGTTCCGAAGCGGGGTCTGGTCTACCGCGAGGTCTGGGTTCGGGGGACTCGGTACCGCAAGCTCGGCGTCCCGGCGTTGCAGGTTGCTTCGACGGAGGCTAACGTTCACGTTCGTGCGTGTGCGTGTGCGTGTCGCGACCCTGCGGTGACCCCGGCGACCTGCAGGTTCACGTGTCGGGCCGCCGTTGCCGCCGCGCCGGGGTGAGTGCCTTGTCGTCGATAATGCTGCACCGTAAGCACGTAATTGCCTCTTGCGCTCGTACTTGTGCACACGGTATCCGCGCGTCGCGCGGTCACCGCGCGTATTTTGCGCGCGCGGCATCCTCTCTGAGGAAAAAAACACGATGGAATGCCGCTAGTGGACTGTATAACGCGACGCGCAGCGGTAATTTACTCGTTTGCAGCGCGAACGACTCGCAAGGGGCACGAATTCGTGCGCGGTGTGTATTGATCCCCCGGCAGAAGATGGAAGACAACGCGCCGCGAATACCCGTGTAATCAGCGAGATTTTCCACGCGCACGGAAAAAGAATGCGGCTGGCCGATCTCTTCTGGTCGCCACCGCTCGTTGTCGAAGACTAGCTTTTCCCGAGGGTGCAGAGGTGAGGCGATAAAAAACGACGTCGTCGGCAACACTAAATGCGCTTCTCTCCCCTTTGTAGCGTTTATTTCACCCAGGACGACGGATTCCTACGAATATCTCACGCGTTTAATTGATGTCATCCGCTGCAATTAATTTTTTTTGTTAACGTATAAGACAAAAAATGTAAAAGCGATAAATCATTTTTACAATATCAAAGTTTAATATATCGTTATATTTTTGTTACGTTTTCAAGTCGCCGGAAAGGAAAGAACTTTTAAGTTAGAAAGATACTCGCTTAGTATATTTCCGACTATATCTATTGTATGTAAAGTCTTTCACAGTCGTTACATAGCAATGTAACAACGCCATTATAATAACGGAAATAAAACTTGATATATGTTCGCATATATTTGCATAAATCGCAAATAGCACAGCTGTGCATTAAAGTTAATAATTTTCTTGTTAGAAATTAAATTTATAGTCGTGATAACATATCTCCAGTGGTTTTCTGAGGCATATCTTAGCGACAAACTTGTAACACGCTGACTATTATTGCTTCTGACCTAATATATTTTGACCTACGGATATTTGCTTGTATCGAATATTATAGTAATACTTTTGTTGACATTATCAATTTTTTTCGCATGACGGTGCGAATGCGTGAAACTGATGGCGTACGCTCTACGAGCTGGCCTAAAACGAGCATTGACTTTTTTTCCCTTCGTTTTACGTTAAACTTCTCTTCTCCGTTCTTGTATGCTTTTCTCCTTCTCTTCTTCTCGTTTGACTACTAACATTTAATACTTAGCTTAATGACAGCTACGAAGCTACGAAAAGAATACTTCGTTTCGCACATCCTTTAATATTGTAATATTGTTACGTGGAAAGATCGTGCCAAGGTTTATTCTGAAGCTCATAAAAGTATTTTGTTAGATTACGGATACAATACAATTTTATACTTGAGAGAAATCAAAGTGAATATGTAAAGAGATGCAAGAAGAACAATGTCTTTATACCTTTCGAAATTTTTCACGGGGTAACGCTTTAAAATGTATACGAAGATATTGATTTTAATTAACGAAAACTTTCGTCCCAAACTCGAGGGATCTTGGATGAAGATGTGTTGATGACAGTTGCACAGAACAACTGACGTTCCCGAGAGCTTAAAACGCCAGTCAGACGCGGTCTGCAATCTGATACCTCGCACCTACCGTTCCCAAATTTCCAGGGGTGCGTATCGAGTTCCCAAGGTGCGCGCACGCGAATCCCGTTTCGCATCGCGCGTCCTCGGATTAGCATCGCATTATCGGGAAACGCTCTCGCGAGAGGCATCGCGAATGGAGAGCGCGCGAGCGGATCCATTTCACGTAAGCCGAATTCATGAGGCCCCGAGGTTTTGCCGCCATGGCCCCGGGTGATGGCGATGCATTCTCTTTGCTTGTTCGAAAGAACGTGCCCGGTCTCTCGCCGCGGCAGGGTCTATCTACCCCGCCGTCTTTTCCCCGGTCTCGGCCACTATCCTCGAAGCCTATCCGCACCTCTTCAAGCACAAGTGTGCCGAGGGCGACCTGAGACGCACCACGCGGGATAGTCTCTCTCGGCGTCACCCTTCTCGTTGTATTGCAAGACAGACGAGAAGAGGCAGGACGGAGAAACAGGAGAGAGAAAGTAGACGAGAGATCAGGTATCAAGTGTAAAAAAAGATCATTGTACGGGAGCATCTGACCGTAGGGTAGGAATCACGTTGACGCGACGGTGCGAAAGGATAGAGTGAGATGAAAAGAGGGATGTGTGTACTTTTTTAGAGAGAAAAAGAATTAAGAAGAGACAGAGATAAAGAGAGAGAATCTGGCGAAGGTTACCAGGGCGCGCCGGCAGGGACGCGAGGGGTGATCCTTCGCGATGGAAAAGAGACGAAGAGACGATAGGAAGAGGGTGAGAGGAGAGGAAAGATGTGGCATGCACCGAAAGCGTTGGCAGTTTATAAGGGTCCCCGGTATTGTGGATACGTATTATCATGCTAAATATAACATGTTAACTACTTCGCATAATACCGCGATCCTCTCGATTCATCTCCCGTACGGTCGATCGGCGAATCGCGTTTCTTCGCGCGCGTCGCGCGTCGAAAATTTTATTGCCGAATTCGGCAGATGCGGCGGAAGTGTAGCGCCGGTTTTCCTCACTGATTTCATTCGTCAACGGGGCGCGGAGAAAGAGGTGAAAGAAAAGTACGGCCCGTCTCTTGTGTTTCTTTGGAGATGCCAATTCGATTATCATTTCAATGAACACATAGGATCTAAATAACGTCAGTTATTTCTAATCATAAAAGTATAAATTGCTGCAATATTCATACGCGATATAAATGTACAGTTTTTAATACCTGCTTTCTAAATCTGAATCAGTGAATAGTACTGCTGAATCAGTGAATAGTCACTGATATCAGTGTAAAGTATGCCACTGATTCGAATTAATGACTATTCACTGATTCAGATTTAGAGAGTGTATCTATAACAAAGAATTGTATTTATATCTTTTTATTTAATTATTTACATCCATTAATTTTTTATGAAATTAAGAAATAATGAAAATATATGTTTTGTATACACGATCTAATCTAATGTCATATATCTAATACTTGAAACTTTATAAAAGCACTTGTTATCATTAAAATGTTTTAAAAATTTCAATTATATAAGACATATAAAAGAGGAAGGTAATCCTTCTATACCACTTGCCGCAATATTTCGTGAGCACGAAGAATCTGATCTTTTTCACCGAGCGGCCGGTGTCAATCAAAAACTGCCCAGATGGCCCAGATGGCGGATCCCATAAAAGGCAATCGGTAGCGACGCGAATGGGTCCGCTGTATCGACCTCGATATACATAGTGCAAATTCGTCACGCGTTCTTAGGGCGCGTCGCGGATCGAAGTCGATCTCGGTGATCGGTAAAGGAGCTATAACTGAAGGTCAATTCTTCACGGACTGTTGAAGGGGTGTGATGGGCCAGAAGCTGCTGGTGCAGGAGGCGCCTGGCTCCGGTTCCGCCTCGACGAATCGCATGGAAGGCGGCGAAGGTGCCGGAGGGGGGGAGCTACACCACTTCCTCCAGTACAACCAGCAGTCCCACAGTCCCAGCCAGAGCCTGCAGGGTGGCCTTCCGCTTCCGTTGAGCCCGCAGCCCCTGCGACACGACGGTGCCTCGAGCGCTGGCATCGTCGGGGTCAAGAGGGAACCGGAGGATCTCAGCTCGTCGCGCGGGGGCCAGCAATCCAGCAAACGGCACAAACAAGCACAGCCGGAGAGTCCCACACCGCCGGGAATGTACCATCATCATCAGCATCAGTTGCAGGTAAGTTGCAGACGATTATTGTCAAGCGCAATCACGCGTCCTCCCCTTAGAATTCGCGATCATTTATATATTTTATTCGATTTACTCCGATTTTTCAAAAGTACGACGCTTTTTATACAACGTGTGAAACTTCAATATTACCTTAATGATATATTCCTACAAGAATTCTCAATCACTTCGTGTCACGAAATTTTTCCCTTCACAATCACATACGGCGAGAAAAGAATTCGTATAATCAGTTTTCAAGTGACTTCAAACGTTATGTGGTTTATTCTTTTGGTGTAAAATTGCTAAAGATTGCTAAAGATTTACAACTTCTATACGATCATCGCCGAAACAACGCGTCACGTATAACCCAACGTAATATTCGCACGCCACAAGATAATATTTGAGAAAATAACATCGCTCAAATTCTCCCAACGTCGCTTCCCGCGCGTAAGGATCGCGAAAATTGCTCAATTGCAGCGTGTCTCGCGGAGTTCCACATCATCTTTTTCCTTTATAAAAAGAAGACGTGCGAATGCGACGGTGGAAACGCGCGGGACAGCGATTGCGCCGACGACGGCGAATCGTTCGAAAAGTGGAGGAAAATCAACCGCAATTGACGTATATTGGTGTTATAGGTGCAGCAGTACGGCAGCCCTTACGACCCCTACACGTCCTGCAGTCCGAGGCTGCAGTCGGCTGCGTACACGTCCACATCAGGGACCGGGACCGGAAATGGAACGGCGAATCCGGGTAGCGGGCTCCATCAGGAGGCGACGACGGTCTACGTCGCCGGCGACGCGCTACCACCGCTCGCGTCGTCGAGCTCCACATCCTCGCTATCGACCACGACCGCTTCGTACACGAGGTACGAGGTTGTGCCGAGCTCATACGCTACGACACACGCGATACGCTCGTCGTCGAGCAGCAGCAAAGTCCTGACCGTTGATCTTCCCAGCCCCGACTCTGGAATAGGCGCGGACGCAGTGACGCCCAGGCAAGACCATCATCCGACCACGGCTCTTCATCAGGTGAGTCTTTCGAGCGTGATAAATTTCATTTCTTTGATACGTTCGACACGTTTCTCGGCTCGCGTGGTGCGTACGACTTCAAAAGCGATCCTCTCGCGTCATCAGCGTGTATTTTCAAGCGCAGGTAATCGCGGATGCATTTACGAGCGACATTGTTAACGATCCAAGTGAATAAAGATCTCTCGCAATACCGTGTTTCTGATACGGTAATGTACGGTCATTAAAGTTGGATGACAGTATAAGTCCAGGGTGAAAATTGCCACGATAAAAGTACAAGACAAACAAGTACATATTAGATAAGAAATTCCGCGGAAGAAATGTGTTGATGCCACAATAATATCAGCAACTTAACGTAAAGTTCGGAACGCTCGGACGTATAGAGAACTGAAAAGCCTTATTAAAATGGAATAAAACGATCCTCGCGTGTTATCCTGCCACGTAATATTAACATAGCCCCGGCGTAATATGGTGTCACGGAGTTAGCCGACAGGGACGATCGTAAACGGCTCACGTCTATATAAATTGCAATCAGCAGGCGACGTTAGCGGGATCAAGCCGCGAGATCCAGGCGAGATCGCGGCTGTCTCGTCAGCGGGGATCGAAGTTAACGGGCTGCAGGGAGGATTGCGGGAGATATATGAAGAAATGTTTACTGCGCGTAGATACTCGCTACCGAATTACGCGGATAGCATGCCGGCAACGTCATTAATTTGCTCGAGAAAAATGCGTCCGGAGCGTGTGGCCGAGTCGAGGAGGCAGAAACGACCGCGCGGCGTGCCCCAACGCGACGCGGAATAACCGTAGCTCAATCAAACTGCAGAAACGGCACGATGGGAAACGACGGCATCATCCGCGGCCGCTCCCGCGCTATCGTTTTCAATTCGATCGGCTGCCCGTGTACAAATTACTTCGCCCACGGCGCCATAAGCGATCGCGATGCAATTAATCTCGCGGCGAGATATCGTAAATATCGTTCGTTAACGCTCGGCCGGCTTGCCCCGCTCAAAAGACACCCTCGGTACGTTAATATATGCGGTATTAACCGTTATATCCTATTGCGAGCATATTCGAGCGCGGATATCGCGGATGCGTGTCGGTATCGCCGCGCTATGCTATCGTTTTCAATGCGATTTGTCAGGTAAGTGCTTTCGCCCACGACGATGCCTCACCAGCGCGTAGCGCGAGAGAAAGCCGGGCTCTCTCTCACGCGATTAATTCCCCGTGTCTCCTGCAACGCGCACCGTGGCACGGTATTACGCTTAAAGCGCTCTAAATACCGACGGGTCGAATGCACACCCGGCGATCGCCGCTCTCGATGCGATTTGTCAGGCGAATTTTTTCATCTTAACGTCGCGTACAGTTACGCCGACGCAATAAATTCGGATACGCTAATACTGCACATCGCGGCGCATAATACTCTGAAGGAGCGATTATGGTATTTTAGATTACGATAAACTGCAAAATTCAGCCGTATCGAAAAAGCGAACCCGTTCATCCGGTTGTTAAAACATAATGTCTGCAAAGATTTTTCGTAGTAGACGTGTTTTGCTGAAGCGATTCCCTTATCAGGCCTCATTTGAGACTCAATAAATATAGATGTGTATCTATGTATTAGAATAAAATTAGAACTTTACGTAATTGGACGGCAAATTTTTGAAAGAGACAACATTAATTTCAGTAGACCGTCTTATCGCGTTTTCAGCATATAGAAAATACTTTGAACGTCTCTCTCGACTTATCGGTTTTATGTTGGAGGTATTTGCTTCTTTCTACGTGAATCTCTCTCGTATAATTAAACGACAATGGTCGACGTATCGTTTCGTCTACATTCAGCAGTTCTTGACGGACAATTTGTCATCCTATAGCTGCTGGATATCTCGTCCGCTTCCGGAAATATTAATCGTGTCGCGCGCGCGTTACACGCGAGAGTAAATCATTAGCATTGCAGTCGACATTACGAATTAGAAAGCACGCGTTCCGTTCTGCTCCGCTTGTGCGCGGCAGACGCTGAAATAAAATCCGAAGCTCCGGGTCGGGCGGATTAGGTATCGGATGTAAGTGCCACTGAAAACCGATTCGCTCGCCCGATCGGCACGCTTGTGCTATAGCACGCAATTAAAACGTTGATATTCAAAGTGGGTAACGCATTAAATTCTCCCGCGCGCTCGTTTTAATCTCGCGACTAATAGCGCTTTTCGTCGATTTCCTGAACGTTTGAGGAGCGGTGTCGCTCTAAATCACAACGAGATAACGTAACACGCCAATTATAACCGTACGACGCGAACGATATGTCTGCTTAATGAATTCGATGACTTGCGAGTCGGCAGAAAAATGTCTCTCGTTAAACCAATCGTAAACTACGGTGCGCGACATATCGAAAATGACGTCTTATTTTAACGCGTTCCGCGGACATCGCCTCCGATATCGCGTGCAAATCGTATGTATCATATTCCAGCCACGGAACTTTTAGCCGGTTGTCACTTAGCTCGAGACTCTAAGCGTGTTTAGATATTAAACATTTAGCCCCGTGTTCTTGTCCGCGACGTGCACGACAGTTTTCGCATTCGCGTCAGCACGCCGCGGCTCAAGTTCCTCACGAAACGTTGATTCGATTACCACCGCTGACGTCTTAATTAGAACAGTCGTGTACCTCGACGATAAAACACGATAAATGAATAAATCGGTAAATTGCGCGCGCAAGTTGCTTAATTACACGACAACATGATAAAATTGCAAAAAATGACGATCTATTAAGTTCTGTCGCATGTACGTGTTATATAATAAATAAAACATTAATTTAAATTTAAAAAAGTTTTGTTACATAATCAAATATTTAAGAATTTTAACATATTGTATTTTAGGAGGTAATTACGAGAGCGTTGAATGTTAATAGAAAGATATATGACAAGCGATAAAATTTTTGTTGACGAGACATCGTCTTCGAGTGTCGAAAACTGTTGGAAGAAAATATGCGACTTTCATGTTCATTGCATCTCATACATTTAATGCATAAAGCATTTGAAAAATTCCAAAACGACGAATAGCTTCGTGCCGACGCGACGTGCGGTAGGTTCAGTGGTTAGAGAATTTAGCAAGAAAGAAGCTGCCATGATTCTTTTTTTTCGAGATGACAGAGAGTTGAGGTAACGAGCTGCGGTAACCGCGCTGCATTGAAAAATAACTGCAGGCGACGCGCAATCGCATGAAGACGTATGAGGGAATAGGTCGTTCGGCAAGCCGCTTATTAACAGCCAACGGTTGGAAGCGGGTGTGCGGATTGTGCGGTTGATTTTACGAGACCACAAAGCTCCTCTATTCTTTCTCCTTCGGCAGCAGCATGCGCAATGCGCAGCGGAGCGCACGATCGAAAATGCATACTAATGATATATTGAGGAAAAAATCGGTTGTTTTTTCGCTGCAATCCATTTGCGTCGATATATCGAGATTTGTTTACGGCGATACGTGTGTAATCAACGAGGAGAGGAGAGATCCGAGGCGGACGCATCGGGACATAGTCACGTGAAATCGCGTGTTTGCGAGCGGTTAATCATTTATCGGTTCAGTGATCCCTTTAATCGGCGCAGTTTGAAATTTATTGAGGGACACTTGAGGAACGGAAAAATCTAATGAAATGCATTGATATGCAAAATAAGACGCGAACGTGTGCAGATATTGAATCGCGATACCGCTGATATACGAAACCACAACGATATCGATAAATAATTACATCTTACTAGGTTTTTAAATACTAATTACAGCGTAATCAGCGAGCATTTAAATTAGCGAGATTAAATACGCTTATACATGCGAACGCGTTTTATCTACGAGAACATGACTGGAAGGAGTTGCAACTACCTTTACACGCTATTTATTCTATATTAATGTTTCGATACTATTATTACATCCCATGCGTTTCTTCCCGCGAAAAACATTTTAAAAATTATTATTCTTATCATGAAAAATACTATTAAGACAAGAGAGCAAAATCTTTTGATATTATTTATTACTTGAACCATTGAAAATATAAATATAATTTTAATATTATTACATTTTTAATTTTTTTGTACATTTCCACGTTCGTGTAATTTGCACTGGGCGGATTTTCGAATTAAGTAAGATTATTAGAAAAGAATAGAAAAATTCAAGATGTTTAATTTCAATGGAAGTTATTAATTTAAATTGATTAAATGAAATTGTTGTATATTATATATTATCGAATATGATCCTTATTTTTTTATTCAATAAATTAAATTTTCTTTCTAGTCCTCATTCGACTACACAGAATTATGCCCCGGTGGGACTACAGCTGGAACGGCGGTGGTCCTCGAGAGTGGCGCGGTAATACATCAACCTCTGCAACTGCAACTGCAGCAGAGCCATGCACAAGCGCAGGTGCAACGCAGTAGTCTGGTGGCGGGTGCGACAAATCCGAATCCAACTCCGAATCCGCAGAGATCGCGGCCTTGGCACGATTTCGGCAGGCAGAACGACGCTGATAAGATCCAGATACCGAAAATGTAAGTAAGCTCTGCGAGCTACAGTTGTTGAGAAGTCGACGATAGAGATATGGTAGCCCTTAAGATTTAAAAATAAATGCAACATTTAACGCAAGTGTCGGTCTCGAGAAATGTTTCAGAAACTTTAAATGCATCTCTTCACTTTACTTTAAAAAGAAGCTATTTATAGCTGCTTTGATTAAAAGTAGTTATATTTATTACATTAAGAATAAAGGCAATATCGCTTAATAGAATCGTACCTTGATATGATCTGTGATTGTTGATATGTTTTGATTAGAGGTTGCATGGTAGAGTGTAGGAAATTATACAAATGTTATAATAACGTTATAATAACGATGTGCAAAGGCGAATGCTCAATTTGCTCGATCAGATAGATAGACGAATAAATAGACGGATATCGGGATTGATAGATATTTATCTATTAATCTATTTTATTACATGGAAGGCACGGAAGAGCAACGATAAGAGTTAATAACTTGCGTTCATAGGGTAAGCAATTGCGAATTTACGCAACAAAGAAAGCGCCTCGTGACTGGAAACGTTCAATGTCTAAAATTTATATTCGGCTTTCATCTTGTGGACACAAATGTTCGTAAAAAATAATTAATGGCCCGAAGAATCAATTAACGTACACGTATATACACGATTATAAATGATAGAAATATTATTTTATATAGTTAATTAATAATTCATAGCTTTCGTTGCGCATTAATGCGCTTAATCGTTACAAAGATTAATGACAAAGATGGAATTCTTGTATACATATGCAGAATAATATTTTCGCTCATGCGCTAATGCTCAATGTAAGATTTCTCTTGCGACTGACAACTAATGGCGTCTCTAAAAACAGAGAATAACGATGTCATTTCTGTTTCGCGGGAAACTAATATCTTCACTAGTCTAGAAGAAGAACTTCCTGTGCCCCTTACTCTTCGCGCACCCCTCATTTCCTTCGCGGTTCATCACATCCGCTTGCCGACTCATTCGGTCTTCCCCTTCTCCCGTATCCATCTTTCCTAGCGATCTTTCTACTTCCCGTTTCGCTCCATCCGTCTTTTGTAATTTGTTGCCTTCCATTGTTAAGAGCCGACTGTACGATCAGCGGCGCTGAATATTTCTCGCTCCATCTCTCTGAGTACTCACCGACGCGCGGGATGAACAATGATGTTAAAGTTATTAAGTCGCAGCCCGCTCTCGCCCGAAGTCGACTCTCGAAGAGCGGACAAGCGCCTCGGGGCCGCGCCGGGATCGGGCTGAAAAATCGCGCGGTCCACCGCGCCGGCCATTCGCAGCGTGAAATCGAAATGTCAAGAGGGGTAGCCTCTCTCTTTTCGACCGAGGCCGGGTTCTTTTTCGCGAAACGAAAGCGAGACGGTCAGACAGACAGATTCGAGAAAGAGAAGGAGTGACTTGATAGCGTCATGCGTAACCCACACGGGGAGTTGTAATAAGGTATATACAGATCGGGTAGGCGGCGGCTGTGCAACGGTAGCGAGCAGTAAAGGCGCACAGGAGGGCGTTCACCCGCCACGGTCAGTTATCGCCTCGCTCGCCACGCACGCTGCCCCCTCGTTCGTCCCCTCGGTTCCCCAAAGAGAAGAAAAAAAAAGAAGAGAGCCACACATAAGAAAAAAAGAACGAAAGGACCGCGCTACGAATACGAAAGCGTGCACGCGCTTCGTAGAGACAATAGGACGTTCGCGCGAGGATATACGATTATACGTTCGGAGAGCTCGCCGACGGTAGACCGATGGAGGACCGGTATCGATAAATCGGGTTTGAGACGAGAAGTGGCGGCTTGGCGATTACAGATTTTCCTCGATCTCGGCGGGCCCGATCGTTTTGCTCCCGTTTTCTCATCGCGTCCACCTTCCTTCCACCGTGCGCGTTGTTTTGTCGTCTCGCGTTTTACTTATATCGCGCGGTCTCTTCCCCCGGTCTCTTGGGTTATGGGCATTCATTTTTCATAAGTTATCGGTCGCCCGCCTACCTGCCTTGCCTTAGTCGTGGCCGGCGCAGAGATAAGCTCGATTAGAAGCCGCGATTTTCTCCCCTCTTCAGGGGAAGGCTGATGCGTGTCTGTCGACGTCTTTCTTTTTCCACTTGGCGCGCTCGCCGGGTTGCCGGCTTCCCAGGCTCCGGGTGCCCGAGCCCTTCATTATCGTTTTGCCCCGCGATTAGCGATTGGAATATTCATACCTCGATCGCGACCGCTTCTTTCCGCGCAATGACGAACGTTCTAATTAGCGGATGTTTCGCGCGGTCTTGTTTGCCTCGCGCACGCAGCGCGTTTTCCACGCGAAGAGCGGCGTCAGGTATGTTTGTCTTGGCGGCGAAGTAGGAATAACGTTGGCGAAGAATTAGCCGATAATGACACGATAATCATTCATATTGCATCGCGCATTAATCAGCTAATTGAGCATTCGTTTGCGAGCTCGTAACTGCCTATTAAGTAAACGTGATTCAATCTTGACCGAGTGTGAAACGGCGAGCTGCATAATGACCAGGGAGATTGCTTCTTAAACATGTGCTTTTTTATTTACGCATACGCCGGAACTGTGTATCCACGCTTCATTTGGGGAATCTTATTCGTCTGTCCTTTAGTTTCTCGAATTACGGATTTAAGTATCACCTGGAGTCGCCGATCAGCACGTCGCAGCGCCGCGAGGACGACAGAATAACGTACATCAACAAGGGCCAATTCTACGGGATCACGTTGGAATATGTGTCCGATCCGGACAAGCCGCTCCTCAAGGCAGGGCAGACAGTCAAGGTAAGAGCAAAAAGGATAATTATACTGTTTGCATAACGGTATTTATAGGATGATGTATGTAGGTAAATATATCGTTTCGAGGATAGAGAAGTTTGCATCCCGAAGATCGTACAACGATACGCTTAACACAAATAATAATATATTGCCTGAATTTCAATAGTTTTAAATCCACAATTAATTTTGTACGATACAACGTTCAAAAGAAACTATATAATATATTTATTCATAGTTCCACACGAATCAATTTTGTGATTCAGTAACAAGAGACTAACATAATGTAATATAATGTCCATGATCTAATTTCACGACCTAGTCCACGATACAATTCGATCAACGTTGAACTGGCTAACGAGCGTTTTGCAGCGTTACACACGTTCCGTTCGCGTGACTGGAGCGGAGCAAAATTCGCGGAGATGATCGGCGTGTCGAAAGTCGAAAGAAGAAGTCAGACGGGATCGTTTGTTCTCGCGGCTCTAATTGGTAGCCGCGGTGCGCTCGCACCGTTAGCAATTTCCATTCTGATAAAGGTGGCCGATTCTTTCTCCGTCGTGCGCGCCGCCGCGACGAGTTACGGCTTCCTCGTTAATTGCTAATCGAGCGTCGAGAGCGAGGCGTGTGGCAATTCGAACGGTATATTCGCGTCTCTCGCGGCGCGAGCCTCAAGGGAGATCGGTTAAGTAAGTGTAACCGCGTAACGCGAGCCTCTTATTCACGGAACCTCTCTTTCCTTCCCGATCGCGCGCGCTCGCGCGTCCATATTTTCTCTCCCGTACGTCGGAGAGCAGTTCTTCGCCCATTCACCCGAATCACGAAAAATCCTTCCTCCGTCTCGGCGCTCGCTCGCCGCTCGCGGCGAAACGCTCACGCCCGCGTGTGCCCGCTCGAGCGTGCGTCTGTCGCGGCCGATGTACGTCTCCCAGCGTATCGCCGATCCGGCTGAAACGTGAAACCCGAATGTTAACTTTGTAGACACAAGACATTTATTTATGCCGTACCACTTTACACATACCGGGTTAATTATAAAACACGGGAGGAATCTCGAGCGATGATTTATAAAATACGAAAAATCTTGAAACACATCGCGAAAGACATCTTAAATGCGTGCATATATTTTCCTGGCCCCATCTTGCCCCTAGGAATAATGTACAGATAAGTGTAATAACAGTGATCAGCCCGTCACACGATTAATAATTATTTACATGTGCTGTCACAGAGCGTGGTAATGTTGATGTTCCGGGAGGAGAAGAGTCCGGAGGACGAAATCAAATCCTGGCAGTTTTGGCACGGCAGACAGCATTCCGTCAAACAACGGATTCTCGATGCTGGTACAGTGATGTATAAATAAAATGATATAAACCTAAATAATATATGAATAAATATAAATGATATAAGAACGACTGTGAAGTCTTTTTTAACAAATTCTCGACATTTATGATCGATTAAATCTTCAAATCTCTCGTACTTTTGCGCAAGCTGCTTAATTCATAACGGACAAGTGGTAAGATATTATCACGGACGTATGATCCGTTATGTTAATATTCTATCTAAAAGCGTCCCGGAGAACAGCACTAGCTACTTCATATTCCCCTGCATGATCCGCGAGTTTCAGAGTCACGTCCGTTGTTACAGACACAAAGAATAGCGTCGGCCTGGTGGGCTGCATAGAGGAAGTCGCGCACAATGCGATTGCCGTTTACTGGAACCCACTCGAATCGTCGGCGAAGGTAAGGAACGCCGGAAATGTCGATTCACGTTACCTCCTTAACGACACACGCGCGTACCCCACAGTGCCCTCTCCGCGTTCCCCCTTTCCCGTAATATATCTCGCTTATCGCCGCGCGATCTTGTGCTACACGCGCAAATATCGTATCGCATTCGCGCATTCGATTGCATGGCCATTTAGCGGAAACGTTAATAAAGCACGTCCCTTCCCGCGTACGTCGCCGTATGCCGCCACTGCTACCTGTCCGATTTCTGATCCGCAGATAAACGTGGCGGTGCAGTGTCTCAGTACCGATTTCTCGAGTCAGAAAGGCGTGAAGGGTTTGCCGCTGCATATCCAAGTCGACACGTACGAGGAACCGCCGCCTCACGCGCACACATACACGCCGCCTTCCCATCGCGGCTACTGTCAAATTAAGGTCTTCTGCGATAAGGTAAGCGCTCTTGCATTTTCATATGTTTATCTTTTCCCCTCTCCCCCTCCCCCCGCTCTCTCCTTCTCTCTTCATTTGCGATGTAAATAACGCGCGATCGCTTCCTGGTCGCAATGCGATCGTTGAAATTAAGTTGAGAGATGACGTTGCTTATCGCAGGGAGCAGAGAGAAAGACGCGGGACGAGGAGAGACGCGCGGCTAAGAGGAAGATGACGGCGACCGGCAGAAAAAAGCTCGACGAGCTTTATCACCCCGTCACGGAGCGTAGCGAGTTTTACTCCATGGTCGATCTGCACAAACCGCCTGTGTTGTTCTCCCCGCCGGCCGAGCATGCCATCGATAAGGTAATCACATCCATCCTTTTTTCGTATGTTACTCAAATAAGAAACAGGGTCTGTAAAGACTTGCTATGCTCTCATAGACCGCAGACAAATTTAATTGCGATATATTAAATTTAATAATTGTACAGAAGATATATATTATTTTATTATGAAAATACAATGAATTATAAAGAAGAATAAACTTTTCTTAATATGCTACGTTGACGTGAATAAAACTCAATACAAGGCACCTATATTTGTCGAATTGACAATTTGTTTGTCTTTGATCAAATACGAGTGCAAATCAAACGCTACGGTATCTTATTAGCATGTATCTCAACTAACGATGCAAAAGAGAACTTAAAAAAAAATCGTGTGGAATCCATAATCCTCTGCTCTCACCCCCGCCGAAACCCTACACTAACCGCAACTCTTGCATCGCAAAGTAATGACGTGGACTTTTTTGAAGATAGACTTTTTCGAATTTCACGTCAGTTCGGTTCAACGAACTGGAGTAGTAGCCTTTCAGTATTTTTATGTTCTTAGCTCTATCCTAATAAATATGCCAGTTGTTATCGTTATAATTAATGTTATTACATTATGACTGAGCAATGTGTAGCATTATTTTACTTTTACTATCAAAACTGAGGAGTTTTCAAATTTATTTCTTATCACCCCTGACTTTCGATTTGTTCGCATTTCGCATGTTTGTCATTTTTTGACGTTACGTATTAAGAAAAAAAAAATTAACGTAGCTTCAAAGTTGCTCTTGGTTTCCTAACGTGAAATTCGAACGGGCCTTGTCTCGCGGAGAAAAGAAAAAGATGTAAAGTAGAAATAAACCTTGATGTTCTTCTCTTCCACGACAGTTCTCGACGATGGAGTTGTCGGGCTTCTACGGTGGTGGCGGCGGCGGGGGCGGGGGGGACACCGACACCTCGTCTCTCAGTAACGGTGAAGGTGGAGGATTAAAGGCGGCGGGGGGTAGCAGCCCCTATCCGGCGGCATGCGGCCGGCCAAGTCTGCCGGCCCTCAAGTTCCACAACCACTTTCCGCCCGACAATCTCAGTAGCCTGCACGACAAGAAGGACTCGTTGCTGATGCAGGTGCAGGAGCTGCAGGGCTCGGTGCTGCAGGGGGTGCAACAGGCCGGCCTGACGGGCGCGGTGGTGTCCAGCGTCGGTAATCGGCTGCACCTGCAACAGCAGCCGCCGCATCTGCGCCCGACGGACGCCGAGGAGCGCGTCATGCTTTACGTGCGTCAGGAATCGGAAGACATCTACACGCCATTGCACGTCACCCCGCCGACGGTTCAAGGGCTGCTCAACGCTGTAAGGAACATCCTTTAAGGATCTCTTTTCTTTTAATACCGCCAACACACAACGACATCTCACAACACGCAAACATTCGCGCGCATAGAGAGAGAGATTTCAGAGACCTTTGCAGCTGCAAGGACACGATTCGCACGATCTGCTCTCTTGCGTCTGCATCGTTCTCGGAGATACTTTTGAGAGAAATAGCGGAAGTTTTGTAGAGCTAATATATAGGTATCCCGTTCTCATAGTGAGCTATTAACGCCCGCAGTATAGAGAAAATTGTTGAACTTTACTATAAATCGTACGACATAAATGTAACGTTAATCTCGGAACGAGGGATGAATATCATTGATATACAATCGTAAAATTGAACACGTATAATCAAGAGGAAATATGCTCAGCAAATTTTGTGCTGAGTATTGATACTTGTCATTCGGTAGTAAAGTAGGTAAAGTAACGTCTTCTAACAAGCTCGTTCGTACGCCTCGTAGAAATGGAAATGGGAAAATGGAAATTCTCTCACCATTTCCATACCGCGACCGATACCGGTGACTATACGTACGGTAGCAGTAATGTGTTTTATGCAAAACACCCCGCGCAGCATCGAATATGCGCAACCGTGGGCGTTAATGGGTTAATCCGTGATTACGCTGTCATTCGCCGGCGAGGCTTTGCTTTGGAAACAGAACGAGAAGCGAGACAATAATAATGCAACGTGCTATCGCTACCATCGATCGAGATTACGCTTCCTGTAATGTAGCCCCAGCAAAACACTTCCAGGCTTAATAAAGCCGTACGCCGGAAGGTAACTAATGTCTGTTTCGATTTCAATCGATACCAGTTTGGTTTCGCTTATTCAATCGCGCACGATTCGATGAGCGCGGAAATTATACACGCATACACATATACATATTATAGCATTTACGTGCACATATACCCAAGCCCCATGAGAGAGTATATATTACTCATGCATGTGAAAGCATATACTGCGCCATTATTAATACTCGTTCGCACTGGTCCACTCGCTAATTAATATTAATGCGCATGCATCACTGTCCACTGTGTCCAAGATCCTCATTAATACAATATATCGATAGTGCAAGACGTACGATCATATTTACCCCCCTCCTTCACCGCGGATATGCGAGACTGTCGGCGGCTCTTAACGATCTACCGGACGTTGACGTTAAGAGTGGAAGAGTTAAATCCGAGATCAAAACTTGGCGGAAGAAAAAAGTGGAAAGAAAAAAAGACACCTTTTCTTTTTCTCTTGTCAACGATTTCTCTATTCTCGTCGCGCTTCTACGCAGCCCCGCAAACGAACGGATCTAAAATTGATCCACGCGTTGATCTACGTACTCCTCCTATCTCCGGCCGCGCTCCAATCGATCTTAAACTGCCTCCGCGTTCTTTCGCGCGACGCACGATATATCTTTTCATCGTTATATCTTCCCGTTTCGATCTGTCTTGTCTACTTTACTCTCGCTCTATCCTTCTCTCTTTATCTCTCTCTCTCTCTCTCTCTCTCTCTCTCTCTCTCTCTCTCTCTTGCTGTCATTCTCGCAGTAAATGTTGCGTCTACCTACGCGCGTCTCTCTCGCGAGCACACTTTCTCGAGTGCGTGCGCGAAACGAAAACGACGGTCCGCAAGCCACTATCAAAATTCTAATGTTCTACTTTTTTTCTATTTTGCAGATTGAGTCAAAGTACAAAATTGCATCCTCGAGTATTAATAACCTCTATCGCAAAAACACAAAGGGGTAAGTTTAGTAGAGTGTCATCTTTACTTGCATGCACGCCCACGCGATGCATGCCATAACGGTGACATTGCCTGACTCTCTCCGCCTGGTTTGGTAGTCTCTTTTTCTCTCTCTCTCTCTTTCTCTTTCTCTACTTTTATCTCTTTTTATCTCTCTTTCTTTCTCTCTTTCGCCTCTCCCTCTCGCCTATGATCGTGCCTCTTTCAAATGTCGGACACGCGTTTTCTCTGCGACATATGTATTTAAATGTATACGCCATTCTCGTGTACTCTCTCGTTATAAAAGTGTCCTCTCTTTGCCGATCACCTTAACGCGAATGTCGCTGCACTGCTGACTGCATCTCGCTTCCGCTACGCACAATCACGCCTGATTAATCCACTAATCCTTCACGCTTCTCGTCTTCTGCCTTCCGTCATGAGCGCACTCATGCACGCCTTGCCTGCCTCGCCTAATGTCGTCATGCGTCTCGTTCAACTGATTATTTATTCTGCCGGTTTTTCAACATACGGTGGTTACATATACTGCGTATTCTTGCAGGAACCTCTTTTCCCTCGAATAGATATTTTTCGTTACTCGACATGTACATTTCACGTCATTCAAGCAAACCCTATCTTACGCTCTCTCTTTCTCTCTTTCTCTCTCTTTCTCTCAAGCTACGCACAATGCGATGCAAACTTTACAATCCACTTTTTTCACTTTGACTGCGAGATCTTCGAGATCCACCGCAAAACAGTATATACATCATCTTGCCGTTATAATACTGTAATGATTTAACGATGATGCAATATTCTATGCAATAATTTCTTTTTCGTGTCCATTTCAACGTTACAAATTTATATTAAGAGGAAAGACATATTTGAAAAATACTAAATGTCATAGAGAAACAATAATAATCATCACAATGCAAAATTTCTCGCATAAAACACTGTTGCACAATTTTAACGTGAAATTTTGGCGTTTATCGACATCAAATACGGAAATTGTACGGTAATACGCAATTCATTCATCAAGCATCACAATATTATTGCGGCCGAAATTACCGCGTTGCATGCCAAAAGTCGAGCGATCACGTTCTTCGAAACGAGATCCGCCGCTTTCGCTCGCGCTAGTCACGCTGAGAATTTAACGAGAACATCATCCTACCCTGTTGCAGAATTACAGCGAAAATTGACGACGACATGATTCGATATTACGTCGACGAGGACCTGTTCCTGTTGGAGGTGAGTCACTCGCGGATCAATCCGGATAGCGAGCGCAATCCGAACAATCCGGGCTCGCCGGGCGATCCTGGCGATCCGGGTGATCCTCCCGCCGGATACGATGTCACTCTCATCGAACTACCGCATCTACCGCACTCACCCCTCGCCAATTCCACGCATGCACACGTGCACGTTCACGACAACAGTAACACGTGAACCCGAACGAGAAGCATTTGTGTAAATACGCTATGTAAGCTTGACGAAGACTGATAATTCGGGACAATGAAGGATCAGCAACATCTTGCATCGAATAATGATGATTGCTAAATCGGCAACGAATGTTCTCGCGCCACGTTGAAGATTATTGTATAGTTTAGTCGATGATGGTGCCAAGGATGTTCATCGAGAGAGCATACAAGTAGCAACGTGTTAATTATCATTCAGTAAGGACAATCAAGAAGAAGAAAGAAGAGGATATCAGAAGAATAAGCAAATTTTCAACGTGATAGTTGAAGAAGAATCGGCATCTGTTGGATTCTGACCGTATGATCGTAGTATAATATCACAGTCGAAGCCTGTATCTTAGCAGACAAATATTTTGTAATATTTCTTGACGCATGTTAGAGTTTTGGTGAACGTTTCGCCTAATAATTATCGTTTCTATGAGACTTCAACCCTTTCATGTTTCGCGGAACATATATATTTTTAGAACATTTAAAAAATCATATCTCCTAAGTATGAAATATACCTAAAACGTCATTGTGAACTCGAGAGCAACTCAATAGCGCAGAACGAAGCTACGCGATATAAATCCAATTGATAAAATATCGAAAGTGTTGAAACGGTTGATCCGCGACATTACCACGCGATAATTGTCCATTTTTAGTTGCAATTTACGTTTCGTCAATTCGGGCAGAAGGAAGGGGACCGGACAAGACATTCTCTTATCAACACCCCGCAATCACGGTCCAACGTCATCAACCTCGGCGACGATGATAACGCATGGCTTTCTGCTGAGATTTGAATTGGCACGCGCGAATATATCGAGGATACGCGCACTAATACCAATCGTGTGCGGCCGCGAGTAGTTTTTAGTCAATGTAAATATGGCCTCGCGACACATAGTACGGCGCTCCGAGAAGTCGAGAAAACTCCGACAAAGTCAAATAGTTATTATGAAGCTCATCAGATCGAAATTTGTATTTCAAATAACATATCTCCGGTAGATATTCAGTCATTAAGGAGCTCAATTAGAACTTATTTTAAAGAAAATTGTTTAAGTTGTAATAAAAAAAGATAAAATATGTAATGTAACTATAAGTGAAATAGGTTTCCGAAACGGATCACTCCTTCATTCATAACTTTCGATTGTCCAATCAACTTTTTATAAAATCAAAGTATGAGGCTCGGGATCGAACTTGGAATACTTAATAGACAGTTAAACTAGATACTTGATTAGATATTTGACTAGACAGAATGAACTTGAAATAGTAGTAAGATCCGAAAGTTGGATTAATCGTGAAAAGTACACAGCGTTACCTTTGCGTGGGAATTATTTCAACTGAGAAAATAATATAAATTCCGATAATATACGTTTAATATAATATTTATATATACATTGCATATCATAATATTTATATTAAATATTATGTATCAATATGATGTTTATATTATATGTAAGATGACATTTTGGAGGTTCTTGTATTTCAATGATAGAGGAATATGACGGTGCTATTGGCTTGCGCGCTTTAGATCAGGTCGACAACTTTTGGACTTTACTACGTAATTCTTATCAATGTACATTTTGTTATATTTTTTATTTTATTTTGTAAACTGAATCTGCATTGAAAATACTTGCGACATTGCGACTATGAAAAACCATGTCTCATAATCAGTACAAATCATGAAAAATTATTTCAGACCATGTGTCAGTACAAACTTTTGTTAAATTTGAATATATTTTATCTTTTATGTTGCCTTATGGATATCCGGTTATTTCGGCTTTATTATATTTGATGTCTTTATTGTATTATATCTTATGTCTTTATTGTATTTAGCAATTTCGAAAACCTTCAAAAATAATTAAACTAAACATGTTCTTTCTCTTAAATAAGAAAGGGTTAAATGATCTCATAGATTGTCATAGAATATAGATGTATGGGCTTCGACTCGACTGGAGTAAATCGAATGTGCAAGAATGTATGACAAATGTCGCTGGCCGTATGAAAAGCGACACGTTACATATCATTTGTTTTCGTCCCATGAACGATTTATATTGATGGTTGTTAGCTTAGGATACCGAAGCGTCGTGTTGCAAATGCGAACGCCATGTAAATCAATCAAAATTGATTTAAGGATCCCGGTATGTGTTAAGCATACGTATATTGTAAATGCATTTGAGAGAGACGCCCATTCGTCTCTATTAATTTGTATCTTAATTTGCACGCCGACATTTAGGCTCTCAATTTAAGCATGTTTAAGAAACGCGTCGCATTACTGCCGTCGATCTTACGAATTGTCATCTTCGAAAGCCGACAAATTCGTATATGTATGCACGTGTCGTCCTTTCACATAAATGACTCCGAATGTTTGTGTTAGTCAATGACAGAAGCGAACCGCTGCTTTCTCTGTTTTCGCGTCTTATTCGATTCTACCCATAATTTTTTAAACGATATCGATTCCACGAGAAGTTGTAAAATATGCGCGAAACGCATAAAAACAAAAAAAAAAAATTCGAATCTCATCAACAACCCGTAAAACGTTAATCGACACTTTCTTCTCATTTGGCCCGTTGTCGCTAACGAGACTTTTATAGCTTCACATTTACGAGCGCCGACGTATTTACGCGCGTGCATGAAGACGTCGCGCGATTTCGTAATGCCACTGTCAGTCGCAAGCCGATCATCGCGCACGAATAAACGTCGGCTTGAAGTGGAAATCTTGCCGTGTGTATGAAAAAAGAAAACCATTTAAGAAAAAATCCATGAAGCCGCGAGCGCGGATCTCCCTGTGCCGCATTCTCTGCCATGTCATGCTCGAGATAGCATCGAGAAGCCACGACTTTTTCTAAGTCTTAAGACTAATAAGAGTAATATAATCACGCTATACATGTATCCGTATAATCTCTTTACACGCGCGTAAGAACTCGGTCCAGACGTTGGAGGATAAGATGGCGATTCAATATCTCGAAACTAAAGTGACGTTGTTCCCTGCAAGAGAAGAAAAAAAGCATCATACGCATTTATTTCTTTTATCTCTGAGGTACAGAATGATAAATGAAACTGTCTTTCTACGTCTCTGGAGTAGAAGAAAACGCCATTATATGTATATACTTTTACATACAAAAATCTTCATTACATTTTATATTTCATTCTCATATAAAAGTCTGTCGAGAATAGATTGCGCAGTGTTCGCTACAAATTTCATCAGCAGAGATGCTACAGATTTTATTTCAGATCTGGCGTATACGATGCTGTTAGCAGAACATTGGCAGACATATAGAAACAAGGTGACAACATTTTGTTTGCTATGTTTGCCGTATGTGCTACTGTTTGCATAAATGCTACAAGCTGGCAGATTGATGGCAAAAATAAAAATTTTGATTTTTTATTTGCTACAACAGTCTGACGCGGATTGGTAATAGAGACGGAGCAGATAATCCAGATTAGATGGAACCTGTTCGGTTTTTGCTGCCAATCTGCTGTCAAGTTATGTCAGTAGGCATTGTCGGCAAAATATGAGCTCAATACGGACACGGTTGATACCAATTGATTAGCAATCGAGCGAATTTGTTACCAATCTGTATACTGCAGACAGTTTGTTTTTTACTGGGATCATTTTTATTTATATTATAATTTTTATACATTATTTTTATACATACGAGTATACCTTGAGTGCTTCCACTTTCGAGATATTGATTCGGAATCTGTGCGAGATAAGAACTCGTGCCGATCGCCTACAACGAGGACCCACCATTGCACTCGAGCAGTAATGAGTTCACAACGTCGTCGAAACGATGTGGAACGAAAGACAACCGAGCACGATATCGGTACCAATAATCCGTGGTTATGTAGTTCGTAAGGTAAAATTTGAAGTAAACGTTAATATGTGCCACCGACGAAAGCGAGTCGCTTGCCAGCTTATACTGCGCATTCGAGATGCACGATTGCGCGTATATATATATATGCCCATCACGCGTGGAGAGACAATACGGATACCCATTGATCTGCATACGAGTACATATACAGAAATAAGACAAATATACACGTATCTGTTGCCAATTATGTTAGAACCGTTGGATTAGTGCAGAATCACGGTTACGACACTTTTCTCGTTTGATGTTAATCATATTATGTACGTCGATACATACCCATATCAAAGCAACGATCAAAATACGCTTGTAAAATGCCTTATTATTATTGAGTACTATTTTTTGTTACATTTATTGCAAGCAGCATGTAGATGGATATTATTAATTTTATGGATTTTATTAAATTACGCGTAAGACGCATATATATTATTATAATTATATTATTATATATTATTATAAAATCTTATTATTATTTTTATACACGAGAGGACGAGTGTCTGTACTCACGAGTGAGAATGCAAATGATACAGAAAGAAGAGCAAAAAGCGAGAGAGAAACCGAGAGAAAGAGCGCGCGTGAATGGATAGCTCAGAATGCCTGCGTATGGGAACGTCAGAGAATGATAGAAATATAGATAGAATTTGCGAAATCAATCTTTATACAAGATAGATGTATGAAATCAAGGCCGTTGATTAGCTTTAGTCCATGACATTTTTTTCACGTAATCATAAACATCCCGTACCCATCATTCCCGTGCCCCTCGACCGTTGCCGTTGCATCTCGGAACGAGGTCGAAAATACGACTCGTTACGTGAACGAACGGATGTGTCTTTCTCATCGAGCCATTTTATTATAATAGTATCATCCCTTTATTATCCTTACGATTATTAATATTATTATCTACAATTTTACATTATAAAAGCTGGACGGACCAGCTGTCGTCGCGAGGGAACGTCGATCGTGCCCGCTGGTGGCAACTGGAAATTGTGTCTCTCTCTCTCTCTCCGTTTATCATTGCTTCCGCTTTTTCGGAGGCTGTAGACTTATGTACACGGATGCGATCGCGGTCCCCTCGCTACGGTTCCTCGGGCCGTCCCGATATCGTACTTAAACGACGTAAATGGCGACGTGGAACAAGCCCGCGGGCTTTAGATTTATTGTTAGAAATAGAGGAATGTATTGAAAAAAAAAAAAAGAAACCGTTGCCGGTCGGACCGGATCGAGAGCGCCGTGTTGAAGTAGGTAGCGAGAGCTACGTTGAAGGATAGAACTCAAAAATGCCCAGAATTGTTTTACTACCGTCGCGTTGTCTTGCCATCGTGAGATTGTGTCAGAGGTGATATTATATTATTATAATGTTCATTGCAACAATAAATATTATATTAGTACGTTTTATAAAAAAAAATCGTACGCCTCCTTCATTGCTGAAGATAAATCGTTGTTACCTTTATCGCCATGCCCGCCATAACTATCATATTATTGATATTATTAATATTAAGAATCAATCTAACCGACATCATTGTAAATCTGAAATACTTTCACCACACAAAAGTAAAGCGCGTCAAAATATATAAAGATCATAGAATCAACAAATATGTAAATATATTTTTAAAAAATTCTTATCACGTATATTGGATAAAGTAATTGAGAAAATTAAGTTAACAATTATTATAAGAATATCGAGAAACAGAAACAAGGAGATGCGAAGTTATCCAGAAGAAAAATAATTGAAATGACAGATTATTTGTTCTCGCGTTTAGAGGTACTAATATTATATAATCTCGTATTTCGCATATTTTTACCCTATATTTTACGTATCGCGATATCATTCATCTCTGTATTCACGGTTCTATGACATATGATAGGCGATAGCAAGTCGTTTCTCCGGAGTCCTCATTAGCATAAATATGATTCAATGTCTCATTTCATTTCACGGAGTTCCGCGATACATATGCGAGATAAAAAAAATCGCGATCATATTAGCATAAAACACCGAAGATATTCGTGCGAGCTTAAACGTCTTAAACAACTTTGTTCACCCGTCAACAAAAGATTGCATTACTAAAATATAATCGTATACAAACGAACGAATACTTTTAACAGATTGGAAAAATTGAATTGTAATATAATCACGGAAAACGATAGTCGAGTCTATCATTGTTCTCGTCATTCCTGCTATAAAAGTCGCCGGCTCTCGCTTTATTTCGTTTCACGCAGCGCTGAGGAGATCACGAAGCAGCGCCCCGAAGGAAACCTGTTGGAGAGGAATTCAAAAGGAAAAAAAAGGGAATTCCGAGCGTGGAAACCCATAAGGAGAAATAAAGAAGATTCCATGTCTTAGAGAAAGAACGAAGGGAGAGCACCATAAAATCAGCGGCGCTGTGGAGAGAGCGTCAGGCCGCTTTCAGAAGGGTCCGCGCGTATTTCACGGCTGACGTACCTTAACGAGCCGTCTCCTCAGCAGACACTTCGATGGAATCGCTTATCCGAAAAAGTCTGACATGACACATCCAGTACGATTAGTACGGAACAAGCGTGCGACGTTATCCCGCGCCAAATCGACTAACGGAACGTGATCTGAATGATGTGTATTCGACTTCGATGACAGGGGGATTACATTTAATCCCGATCAATCATGAACCCGACACAATTACGATGATCATCGATAAGATAAGAAGCTGATTAATTCCAACTTATAACTACGATTCGCCAAAAATTAAAAACGGTTTCTTAATCTTAATAATAAATTTAATAGATAAATTTTTCATAATACAAAATATAAAAAATTTAAGTCTACAATTTTTATAATAAGCTTTGCGAAAAAACATTTTTTTATAAAATAGATCTAAAAATAATTGTTAGGCATATATTAAAAATTCATAATTTTCTAAAAAAATTCTGGTCAAACTTTTTTTCAATTTATCTATCTTTTGTGAAAACTCTGACAGCTTATTTCTCAAAAGAAAGAAGCTTCAACGTACTCGTTAAAGCAAGAATCTTCTTATATTTCTCTGAGACATGGGAGCCTGATCAGTTTTACAAATAAAAATTACAGAGGAGAATTAATTGGCGCCTTGATTACGGGATGTAGCTTGCGTATTTCCTCGGACACAAGGAGGAACAGGGAGATGGAGAGTGTAAGTGGTTACAGCGCGATTTAGTCAGGCGGTTATCATCGTCGGCTAGAAGTCAGCTGGTGTGTATGCAAGCATCATGGCAATCGTGCGAGAATCCAAGACCTTGTAGGGTCACTGGCCCTGACGTGAATTATAGTTCTTAGGCGTAGTATTTGTGTTGTTCTCTCTGTCTTGCCCGCGCGATAGAGATACAGTAGACATCCGTACAACACGAGGGTTCTATATTATAATCGCATAGATTTATATGTATTGCATATGCATATGAAAACATATTTATAAGAGATGTAAAGGTTTATTATGAAAAAATGTAAAAGGAATATTATAGATGTAACATTAAAAATATCTCTTTTATTTCACTTTAAAACAAACAAATATTAAAATGTGTTATACGAATCCGTGTTATATGGGTGAGTCTGAATATATCGATTGGTTACGTGTAGTGTATATTTTGCGGAACCGATCAATGAATATGCGTAGCAAAGAATTTCTGGCATAGTTTTTGAAGAGTGTTTCTATTCGAGACTTCTTCTTTTACAGAGAAGACTCTTCAAAAACAGGACAAAATTTAAATTTCTTATTTCAAGGAATTATTTCCTCGCAGATTCCGCGTCTCGAGATATATTATGCCGCGAGATATTTATTTCCCAGGAAACGATCAATAAAATTTGCTCATCGGCGAATGATATTCATCAATACCTTGATACATAGGCACATATACACTGACATAGTTAGATCTGCTTTTTAAATTAACAGGTTTTGCCTGCTACATCAACGCAAAATGTCAACAAATAAGCACGCATAAAAACCACAAATCAATATGAATAAACGCTATAAAAAGATTTAAAGCTCCTTTGAGGATAATAAAATTTAATTGATATATTATAGGATTGATGATATACCGTTAATACTTTAAACTGGTATCAAACTTTTTGCGTAGTACCGGTTCAACCTAGAAAAATTGCTGTTGCGTTTTATATATATACATATGTACAATTTTTCTAATGAAGATGTATATATAATTTATATAGTTCAATTATACCGTTGCCAATTAACAGGAACCAATTTTTTATAATTTCTAAGTAACAGGATTCAACGACGTAAGCAATCGTACGTGCAACTTTTATGACGCTATGAAAGTGAAGCCGTTTTATTGTCTACTCCGTTATATCGCGTCATAAGGAGTATAGTAACAGAACATATAGAAGGAAATGAAATTTCCGTCTGTAATATTATCATCCTTGACCTGTTTCACGAAGCACTTTGTGTTTTCATACTAAAATGCATCATTAGGTACACACTAAAACATTATTAGATGTACTCACTTTTAAGACATTTCTAAATAAGTAAGAATTAATGAATTCTATCATTTCTATCAAAACTTAAACTACATTTATAGCTTCATGCTTCTTTTTGCTTAATTTTATTTATCTATCAATCAATACATTCGATACGTGGTGTACAGATATCTCTCTTTCTTTTCACAGACCCTTCCTTTCGAATGACACGTCGTTAGAACCCTCAACAAACGACTTCGATATTTCTCAGTTAATTACGAGTAACTCCGGCCCAACCGGTTTGCACGTTTCGGAGGAAGGATTTTGCCAACAAGGTCCAGTAATATTACCATTGGAATCGGTACGAAATCTTGAACCCAATTTTTGCGTACGCGTGTTAAATATCCGGCATATACATACGCGTGACGTTCCCACAATAATGGGTCAACGACTCGAACAAGAACATTGAACTTTAGTAGCAAAAGACGCGTCATTATTAGCTTCTCGAGAATCGTGCTCTGAGAGAACTTTATATCGACAATAAATATAAACGTTACGAAATTTGATAGACGGTTGTACAAACGTGTGACACATAGACACACAGAATGAAGTTCAAGATCCACGTTTCTACCACCCACGATCGTCATCTATCGTTAGGCCTTGATAATACGCGTGTATTTTCGGCAAGGTCCGGTTTGGCGAGTTAGACGCTAACCCGCTGTCCTTTATCGATTACCGAGCCCTGTTTCGCGAACGACAACAAAAAAAGGTTTTATCCCGTCGAGATGTCGACAGTAAGTGGTTATTAACCGTTCAAAGAATGCACGGTCAAAGAACGCACGAACTTAAAATCTCTCTTCCTCCCTCCACCCCTTGAGATGCGGTTCGTCGACCTAGGTATCGCGATCCTGACGTACACTTCAAGGTCCTCCGCTCTTCGCTCTCCTCTGCGGAAGGTACTGTTTATACCTCCGCGAAAGATCGAAGATCCCGCGTCTCAATGGACTGTTTCTAGCGAAACAGGCTTTTGCCTATGTCGATGTGCAAGACGCGATAAAATACGCGTTGGGCGTTTCACTCGCTTCAAATCATAAAGATACTTCATAAATGTAGAAACATCCCCCGGTATTTCTCCAGATTAATCTAATGAATATCTTTTTATTATTTTTTTGTATCAATTTATATATTATGCTAAAGTATATATAATATTCTTGCACAACGCTGTCAAATAAATGACACGAGTCGAGTACAATATAGGCAAGAAGAACTGAGGTAGCTTCAGAATAAAGAAAAGATCACAAAGATCACATACGGGGGGGAAAGGCGGTTCTAAATTCTACGTCAACGGAAGGAAATGCGTAAGTACCTAGCGTCGGGATAGACCAGAAGGCGGGGATCCACGCGGCAAGCAAGTTCACGGCCGTCCCTTACGTGCAGCCTTCTCCTGGCATCTTCAAGGCCAAGATGTGATGAAGGATCGTGCTCTCTATGCAAATGCCATTGCGCGGCATTCGAGTTGAACACGAACCGTGCGAGCAAAGACCGATCGAGCGTGATCCGGTTCCATCATATAGCTTACATAATCGAGATAACTTAAATCCCATTCACAGATAGAAGTTATTGTCCCCGGATTATATGCTCAGACCGCGAATCTCACTCGCGAATATTTCTCGAAGAACTTTACCTCGAGCAATTACGTAGAAATTAGAATTATATTGCAAAATAAATATTGTTATAAAAAATTATATAAAGATATAATGTGGTAGAAAGAAGAAGCCTTTTCTACCTTTTATATAACCAACCCACATAACGTTTGGTTAATATAAAACAGTTTTATATTATAAATAAAGGAACATATAAACGAGATAAAATACAACAAAATTCATGCTTCATAATTTAAAGTAATTTCTACATGTTTACGGTTTTCTTATTTTAGAGGTATAATTGAAAAGCAGAGGCAGCTAAGCTCGGTTGCTTTAAATCAATCCCTCTTCGCGATAGGAATCAATCCACTTTGCGCGCATCAGAGCATAAATAATCGAAACGATTATTTTGCACATCACCGTGGGGAGGCACACCGTGTCTGATCCCTATATACCGTCTATCCTCCCTGCCGTCTGCGCCCTATCCTTTACCCTGCGGCTATCGAAGTGATGATAAAAGAGCAAGAGAAGTAAGGTGCGCGAGAACACCTCGTGCGTTGTATCGAGGAGGAGGGCGAGCCCGTTATAAGCTCGAGCAGCGGCTATTCAGCAGCTTAGACGGCCTAGTGGAGTCGGCAGGGTCCCCGCCGATGATCCGCGCACGTGGGCCTGTCAGTCCCGTGTCCCCGCGCGCCGTTCGTTGTTTCTTTCCGCGGTACCTTGAGCTCTTCGCGCGCCAGTACAATTCTGGCAGCTCAAAGTATGAATAATCGGCCACGCAGACCGTCGCCGTTCGCGATGCTGGTGCTGGTGCTCGTGGTGCAGGTGATCACGACGATCGTACCCGCGGCGGCTGTCGGGCCCCTGTCCAGATCACTGAACTTCGACGACGTTCGCTCGGAGGACAACGCCGTCGTCGTCGAAGGTCGGTAGCGATTGCCAAGTATAATTTCACATGCGATCCTCGTCTAGACGCTGATTTCTCATGACATATACGCTCATCTGCGTCTGCTTTGGACATTTCATGTTTCGATAATTTTAATTGAGAATTACCCCAAGAATCCAGCGGACCAATCTCTTAGAAAAGCGATGCCGATGTAAGGCGAGAATTAAGATCAATTTTAAATACCGACGTGAAAAGTTATGTCATCGTTCAGCAATGAAGAAGAGATCTGTATAGAATACCATTGTCCTTTAATGCTATTCCGCTCTCTCTACCTATAATAGTTCCCATTAATTTTATTTAGTTAAAATTTGTTTCAATGATTTATAGCAAGATATATTTTTAATTAAAATTTAAATTAAAGAATTCTTTCGATTCCACGGTTTTCTCTCTTTTCGAATATTAAAATAGCTCAGCTTTCATGCAAAGATATTTTTAGATATATTCGTAAAAAAATTGATGCTCTATCCAAGCATCGAATCTATCCTCTTATGTGCGTATTTCACACATAAGATATTAGTCAAGATAATTGATGATATGACTGTTCATTAGTCAAAAAGACAACGGTCGTTCTATGTGACTTTTTCTTCGTTTATCAATGATTTAGTCTTACAATTAATGTTATCAATTTTTGCTTTCTTCGTTGATGATCGTGAAATATAACAGGTGCAATACATATCGGAAACAGAATAATAATTCGCACATCCCATACACGGCAGCCGGAAGTTCTCCCGGCGCGCACAAACCTCACCTTCGTCGTACGTGTGCACCTGTGTGCCTTGCGTAGGTCAGCGAACTCGCTGCTAAGTATTTCGATGGAATTCTATTATGATGTTTCGATTATTCAACGTGCAAATTTTATGCAGTCGGCAGCATTAAAAACAAATTTCTCCCTTTCGTATACATAATTTCTATTGATGCAATTTTTGAATTAAAAAAGCAACTTTGCGTAAGAAAAACAAATGCTTCTTAAAAAGCGATTATCTTTTTACTTTTAGATACAATTCAATCACGTGATCGATCAGCCGTCAGGCATATGACAAACGTATGTGCCGAGTTTTTCAATAGCACAATAACACAAATAATATATTTGAACGTAATGGGATAAGCAAACAAATTCTAAAAATTTGTCTACACTTTTCAATTCATTTTCATGTACAATTTATTTCTGATGTAGTGCAATTATAATCTCGAAGCTTTTGCGGATGACAAAATTAAAGGACAACGTCCCGCTAATTTTATCGCGATTTTTTCTAGTTTTTAACATCAGAAAAACACACACATCATGTATATTAATGTATCCGGACATTAATGCTAAAGAACAAGCATTCCCGGAGTACGTGCTGAGATAAACATGCTCGATGCATCCTGATTCTGCGATGGTAAACACGATAACATACAGGTACTTTAACGGATAAAGACAACAAGAGACATACCTGAATAAATTTCATTGAAATTTTCAAGCTGACGTATGACTATCGTGACAGATCATAAACGGGTGGCAATGACAGAATATATCAAAAAATTGAAAAAAATAAAGATATAAAAAAGATAATGCGTATTTAATCAACATATTATACGAAATACTCCCGAAAAGAAATGTGCTTCATCGTACAAAAATTAATGAATTATATGTTCAATTTGCAGCCGCGATCGATCCGGATCAGCTCGGATCGAGGGAGGGTCGGGGCATTCTTTGGAACGGAGCCACGACTCGAGAGACCTGCTTGACTTCGAAAGGCGAAATCGGTCGTTGCACGACCTTCAAAGAGTGCTATCCGTACTTCAAGATTCCGGACCTGGGTGCCCTGGACGGCTGGGTTCTCGGCGTTTACGACACGTGCAGCTACATCCGCGAGGATGGAAACCCGAGCTTCGGGATCTGTTGCTCGAATCTGTTACTGAATCCCTTCGTCACGCCTGACCCTGACAATTGCGACAAATCTACCGTGGAAGAACCGCAAGTAAGGCACCCGACTGTGTGTGTCAGTTACGATTCGACCCAATTGCATAAAACCTAGTGATTCGCCAGCTTAAATAACTCGACCTAATTCCATAGAATCTAATATTCGCGCTCCCGTTCTACATTCGTGGTAATCACTTTCCTTACTGGGAAGTCGTAAAAATTATACGTGATCTGAATTATAAACCCCGTTAGATCCTATTAGAAAGTTATATTCTCTGCCGCGTCGATTCGGCAATACGATTTCACAAAAGGCCTTTTTACGGCCCGCGCTTTTATTGCTCGGTGTTCGCGCATTCCTTCCTTCAGTCGGGCGCAATACCACGGTCATTCTTTATTCCTTTCATCCGTCCCTGAGAATCTTTCTGTCAACTGAAAGAAATTAAATTATAAATTGTTTTATAGGTGGAGGACAATAAGAAAAACAAGAACGAGGAGATAGCACGTCCTCAGGCTGCACCTACTTGGCCACCACCGATTCCGACACATCCGCCCGATCACACGATACCGCCGCTTCCGACTCATCCACCATCGCCCAGTCTACCGACGTTTTCCACCACGTCGAAACCGACCTCCAGCACGAGCTCTAAGAAACCCAGCGTCGCTACTACGTGGCCGACGAAGAAACCAGGCTGGTGGAGCACCTCGTCGACATCCACGTCGACGACCAGCAAGTCTCCGATTGGCAGCACCACCTCGCAGTGCGGTGCCAAGAACGGTAATCAAGATCAAGAGCGTATTGTAGGAGGTAAGAACGCAGACCCGGGCGAGTGGCCGTGGATCGCCGCGCTCTTCAACGCTGGACGACAATTCTGCGGCGGATCGCTCATCGACGACAAGCACGTGTTGACGGCGGCGCACTGCGTCGCAAAGTGAGTCTAATTTATTTGTCAATTTATTTTATTTCGCAAATCAAACGTGGCATCTCATTTGCGGAATAAAATAAATTGATTGAAATAATATAATGTCTAAAACTCTCTTATTTCTTTACTATTGATATATATACCGGAAGATTCCTTGGTAATATTAGACTATACGAATAATTAGAAGTTATTGCGAATAATTCGGAAATATCTAACAAAAGAAAATATTGTATCGTTTCAGTATGAACTCTTGGGACGTTGCGAGGTTGACAGTTCGCCTCGGTGACTACAATATTAAAACGAATACCGAGATTCGTCACATCGAGAGACGCGTGAAGAGAGTCGTTAGGCACCGAGGCTTCAACTCCCGTACGCTCTACAACGATGTAGCACTTCTTACGCTAAGCGAGCCTGTGGAATTCACTGAACAAATACGACCTATCTGTCTTCCTAGCGGGTCGCAATTGTATTCCGGCAAGACGGCGACCGTCATTGGATGGGGTTCTTTGAGAGAAAGTAGGAATATTTTTACACTAATATGTCTTTAACTCGCACTAGTCACTTAAATAGTTACAATGAGAAAAAAATTTGTACTAATGTGTAATTAACATTCATATACTCTCCTAAATATTCTCGTTTAAAGGGTCAATTTGCATAGTCATTCATACCGGGCTATTATTCACGGGCTGTTCAAGCTCTAAAATGTCTCTTAGGCAATATATTCGTACGAAGGATTTAATAGCAATTTATTATATTCAACCAGGTGGGCCGCAACCAGCGATTTTGCAAGAAGTTTCAATACCAGTGTGGTCGAACAGCGAGTGTAAACTGAAATATGGTGCAGCGGCACCAGGTGGTATAGTTGACAGTTTCTTGTGCGCTGGCCGAGCCGCTAAGGATTCCTGCTCGGTTTGTATTTATACATTCGTTGGCTCTTTCACATTATTTAAATGTCAAACATAATTCGTAGCCCATGAACATGAATGCGATCAATTATTTATTAATTAAATTATTATCTAAATTATAATTAGTTTTAGTAAAAAAAAAAGTCGGTTTAATAAAAAAGATTGTTGAGTTCGTAAAAAAAAAATTGAAAGTAAATCAGAAAATTGAAACTCAATCAGACTATCTCATTTTTTGCCAAATACGGAATATGAATGTATTACTTATATTTACAACCAAGTTTTATTGTAAGAATTAACGTAATAACGTTGCATTTATTTAGGGCGACAGTGGAGGACCTTTAATGGTAAACGATGGTCGCTGGACGCAAGTTGGCATCGTATCATGGGGCATAGGATGCGGTAAAGGACAATATCCAGGCGTGTACACGAGAGTGACACACTTTTTGCCCTGGATTTATAAAAATTTAAAATAGAGTACACGCACGTATTTACCGCCATGTCCCTTTCGCACCATCGCTGTTTCTTCGACGTGAGGGATTGCCGAAGAAACGCGGAATCGATCGCATTCGCTCCGAAAAAATGTGATAAAAACTATCGAGCCCTAACAAAGAGCTTCATAGCGATATTAAAAATATTCACTTTCGTTGTTGAAAGTGATAACGCATCGCCTCTCTCTTAAGGAAATTTGATATCAGTCCTTTTTTTTTTAATTACGCGACATTCCATGTTAAGTTCCATGTCATCGCGCTCTGTGTGTATGTTCTCTCATCATTTAATAAAAGCATCGTCATTCATCTATTGTAGAAGTCAGCAAACTCGATGATTACAAGTAGTAACAAAATATTTTATATTTTATATTGCTATACATATACAAGTATATAAAAAATAAAGTTATATATAGTAACGATTTTGATATTATAGGCTTCTGTTTCTGCCACGTCTGCATGCGATACGCCGAAGACTATGTATCGCAATTACTTATATTTAATTGCTGCATAGTATTCCGCGCTGGAAAAAAAAGAAAGAAAAAAAATTCTTCTGTTAGCCGCCAATACTATAAACGGTAAAGTTCAAGATTCAAGAAATAATACCGCGTAAGAATGATATTAAAAAAATATAATTTTAAAATACCTTTCTCTGCAATAGAAAACTATAAAGTTCCTTCTTAAATTACTCGAAATCTTATTAGACGATAATATTGTTCATACTAAATGCAATGGCAATGTTTTCCGCATTCTAGCAGCTACATATTAATAAAACTGTATAGATTTTGCTAACAAAATATTTTACAGCACTTGAAATTTTAATCCCTGTATTACACGGTATTATTTCTGAAACGACGACGATATTATAATACCGGGGCGACGTACCCTGAAAATAGCATGTATCATACTTGTCGTCCGGCTGCGGGATGAACGGGGGCACCGCTTTCGACGGTTCGTCCCAGGGGAAGTCGCGGAAGAGGACCATGGTACGCACCTCCTTCGCTGTGGGACGAGCAGCTTGATCCAAGGTGAGCAGCGCATCGATAGCATCGGTCGTCGCCGACGACAAAGCCTCCTCGTCCTCGGGCCAGGGAACATCACGTGCAAGAATATTCGCGAACACTGCCTGCGGTGTTTCGTCGTTGAACGGCGGCAAGCCCGTACAGAACTCGTACAGACAGACGCCTAGTGCCCACCAGTCAACGGCCGGCCCGTGACCCTGTTTAAGCAACAATTCCGGGGCGAGGTAATCGGGCGTACCGAGTATGCGATCGTCTGATCTAGCGCCACCCTGGCCGCCCCTTCTGACGGACTTGGGCGTTCTATAGGGTGTGTAACAGTTGCCCGATGTCGCGGGTGTCTTGATAGGCGAAATACCCTGGGGCGAACGATGACCCTCGGACGTGTTGTCTAAATCCGTGTGCGGATCGTGAGCGGAATGCGAAGCGGACGGTGGTAGGCGAAATCTCGTCTTGATCAAAGTTCTCGTGTCATCCTCTTCCTGGCATTTCTGCTGCTTCTCATTGCGATCTCTTTGTCTAGCAGAGGATACTGGCGTGCTGAAGGCTACCCTACCCGCAGATCCGGTATTTTGCTCGGTGTCCTGATTCGGTGTCCTGCTACCATTGTTTTCCGCTGAACCAGCGATAATATCCGCTGCTTTTGTAGAGACAACGTTGATCGTCGGACTCGTATATGGATACATAAAGTCACGATTGTTTCTCTTGGGTGTCTTATCCACGTCCAGATCTATCGCGTCGATCTCACACGTTAAGCCCGTCGTTGCACTCGCGCCGCCCCGCTTCCTCTTCTTTGATCCTCGAAACACGAATGAATTCGTGCAAGTGCTCACAGGACTAGTATGTACGAGAGACCGATGCTCCGGGTGCTCGGCCTCGAGCGTAGATTCGTCCTTTTCTTCCTCCTCTTCCTCCTCTATAATCTGATCGGTACGATTATTTGTTTGTGTAGAGGATGCCTCGCATGTGTGGTAGCTGCTAGAGCTATCCACACCATTCTCGTACTTTGCCATTGTGTCGTCTTCTTCTATACTTTGTTCCTCGTTACTTGGCTCGAAGCGCAGATCCTCCGCCGATTGAAAGGGCGTGACGCCAGATATTCGAGAATAATCTCCGGACGCGACAGAAGATATGACCGAATTCGGTGACATATGTTCTGCCGATTTAAGATTGCAATTCCTTTGCAGCGCGGAAAGCAAGTTCATAGCTGGCGTGCTCCTGTCACTGAGATTCGATTCGTTGGTGGACTTTTGGCCGGAACCGAAGGACAGATGGGACGTCAGTGAGAGCAGTTGGCCAGGTGTCCTGGTGCACATGCTAGGCGTCATAGAATTCACTAGATCCGATATTTCAAGATCCCTGTGCAAGGACGATATCCTACTGAGCCCAAAGTCTGTAAGTTTGACGTGTCCTTCGCGTGAAAGTAGCATGTTGTCAGGTTTGAGATCCCTATGCACAATACCGTGCGAGTGAAGATACTCGAGCGCCAGGCAAACTTCCGCCGTGTAAAATGCCGCCATGGACTCCTCCATGAAACCGTAAACGCCGAGCAGACTCTTGAGATCGCCGCCCACCATGTACTCCATGACTAGATACACGCTGCTGATGGACTGCAGCGAATAAAAGAGTTGCACGCAATACGGACTACGAGTCAGGGCTAACGCATTGCGTTCAATTACCACTTGCGACGCCATATTCTTATTTATCATCTCGTTCTTCTTCATTACTTTGATTGCGTATACCTGCTCGGGATTGGTTTTCTTGTACCCTAAAAATACTTTACCAAACGCTCCTCTGCTTATCGGCTTTACTATCTTAAAATCCTGTATATCTGGCACCTAGCAAAGAAAATACTACTAAATATATTACTTAAAATATGCGTTTTCTTTTTGTATCATAAAATTGGACAAATTATATTATAATGTAAAGTACACCATTCATATACATTATATCAGTGTAATACAATCAATTTTATTATCATTCTTAATCAAGATTATAGAAATACACTTTAATTATACAACTTAACATTTATTTCATTTCTTCGAAAATATTCTCAGTTTTATCACCAATATTATTTCTTAAGATTTACATTTAAATAAAATCTATAATACAATATAATAATACAATATAATAAATTTAAAAAGAGTCAGCATAAAATTGCATTAAAAAAAACTAATGAAGAAATCATGGAAATTAATAAAATTTATACTTTTAGGCTTCCATCAAAAAATATCAATAATTTTACTTTAAATACTTTTGTCCACTTTTAAAAATTACATATTACAATTACATTGAGAAATCAAGCATGAGCAACAATTTGTTCAACGCAGTCCTAAGTAAAATTCTATTCAAAACCTTCAAGAATTGCTTAGCTAAGAAACTCTCTGCCTTTTGGAGATAAAAGAAACACTCACCTTTGTCGTGGGATTAACGATCTTGGAAATGGTATTGAAAATGGAATTGTTGATGCATCTCTCGGACGGTTGCGGCGTGTGCTCCCCATGACGTTCCGTGTCATTATCACTGTAGGTCGTATCAACGTTTGGCTCATTAACGTGGTTACTTTCCCCTAATTGTAATTTCGGCGAGTCGGGCGCGGTTTCTTCCATTTAAAGGAAAAGAAAAAAAGACAAGAGAAACCCCGAAGGATGAAACGGAGATAACCTAAACTCGGCGGGCGCGCGCGCGCGCGCAAACTCGTCGCGTTTTTCGGACTAACCTACTCGCACCTACTCGCTCGTGTATGTACATACCGCCTCATGGTGTAAGTTACACCACTATTTACACCATGGCTGGCGGAATCTGCAGAAGAAATAATGAACGCGTTCAGCAGGGCTGCGTTCGATAACCACGCTCTTCAAGAAAATTCACACCTGCTATTCTTGGCAAAATAGCAGAAAGCAAGAAAGCAGAAGCCAATCAGAACTCGCGCTGGTAAGCAGAAGGGAGCGTCCCGTTTGACCACAGCGATTGACCACAGCCACTCACAGCCCCCGATGCCTGGAGTTTTCCCCTGAACCAACCAATCAGATATTTTTATTTTTAATCAATTGACGACATGGTTAATTGAGAATTGAGAATAGAGAATAGAGAATAGAGAATAGAGAATAGAGAATAGAGAATAGAGAATTGGTAATTGAGAATTGGGAATTGAGAATTGAGAACTGAGAATTGAGAATTGAGAATTGGGAATTGGGAATTGGGAATTGAGAATTAAGAATTGAGAATTGAGAATTGGGAATTGAGAATTGGGAATTGGGAATTGGGAATTGGGAATTGGGAATTGGGAATTGAGAATTGGGAATTGAGAATTGAGAATAGAGAATTGGGAATTGAGAATTGGGAATTGAGAATTGATAATTGGGAATTGAGAATAGAGAATTGGGAATTGAGAATTGGGAATTGAGAATTGAGAATTGAGAATTGAGAATTGAGAATTGAGAATAGAGAATTGGGAATTGAGAATTGAGAATTAGGAATTGAGAATTGAGAATAGAGAATTGAGAATTGAAAAAGTTAGCAATAGAAAGTAGCAATTGAATGTGATTGGTTCTTACCTTTGGATCCAAAATTACACTTAATTGCTACTTTGCGCTTAGCTAAGCAGAAGTTCGACAAAACGCAGCCATTGCGCCTCTCATCCTTCTCTCTGGTTTTGCGAACTGTGATAGTAGATAGTAGTGTGACCTGTGACCTCACAGTTCCCGCGCGCGTTGAAGTAAATTCCCCTCCCATCCCGTAATTATTGCGCGCGTAGCTACTTCAGCGCTCGTCGGTTGGCCGTCCGCCGAGTCGCGAGTGTTTGAATTCATTGGCGACTTCAGGCAGTTGCCTGTCCAGCCTGTCGTCACATGTTCGTAACGGAAGCCTCGCATTTACTCGCATTGTTATTCATATTGGCGCGTAATCGTTTATTCGTTTCTCGCATACGTTATTCACGATCTGTCGATCGGTTCTGTTACGTGACGCGTCCAGTGAGCTGATCTTTGATTTCCTCGGACAATCCGACGACGTGATGGCAGCGAAAGCAGCAAAGAAAGCACCGAGGAAGAAAGGAGGTTATCAAATGCCCGAGCCGATACCGGCCGGAGAGATTCTCAGGGACATAGCGAAGGGCCAGTGGATCCTCGGCAAGTCGATCGGCGTCGGCGGTTTCGGGGAGGTTTACTCTGGTACGCGAAACGAATCCCGTTGCCCCTTGCTGTTATATTGCGTGACATATTGTGCCCCCGCGTTGTAAACACGAATGGCAAAATACTCGAAAACAGGTCTATTCTTTTTAGCTGAACTTCTTGCACTGTTTATTTTTTCCTTTTTTCTCTAGGCCTGTTTGTTTTAGCTGAACTTCTTGCACGGTTCATCTTTTCTTCTTTTCTTTTTACATTGGAGAGAAAAGGAGAAAAGATGAACTCTGCAAGATCAGCTGAAAAGAATATAGACGTTTAGATAGTAGTTACGCAAAGAAGAATTATAAATATTGTTTCTTTTCTGCAAGTTTTATATGCACAGTTATCTGCAAAAGACACGTAAAGACTTCCTAATTATGTCTTACATAACTATATCGAGCTATATTGCATTTCTTTTACAAGATATATCTCTTAAAAACATGTTCCTTAACGCTGTGCGGACACTGTGTTTTTGGAACACTGACCCGGTCACCCTGGGACTTTAAGGGCCACGTCGACCAAGCTCTGATTTCACATTTGCTCATTAAGCAGATTGACAAATGAGATTGGTCATTTCCAATGGACTAATCAACGATTAAGTTAATCAGTTTGGTCAAAGTGGCCCGAAGTCCAAAGGGTTTTTTGAAAGTGTTTCTATGTTACAAAGAATCTATAAAAGTTCACGTACTATCATCTTTAAGGTTTCAAAAAGTGATTTCTATATTTACATAGGCCGGAACTGTTGCAATTTTTTTTCACTCCTGTGGAAATCATAAATAAAAAATTGACTGTGTCTTAAAAGGCCCACGGTGTCCGTGCAGTGTTAAATATTTTAGTTGTACTACGTAATTAACTGATTATTGATTAATTGCAGCTGCGCCATATTCTGAAAAAATTCCTAAAGATTATCCTAATGTTATAAAAATTGTAAGCATTATATCTCCTTATTCTTGCTACTTTTTTCCCAGTTTTCATCCTAACTTTGCTTTTCCTTAAAATTTGTTTTAGGAGCCACATGGAAATGGCCCGTTATTTGTAGAAATGCATTTTTATATGAGAAACTGTAAGTCAGATGAAAGTAAGTCTAAAAGTAAAATTTATTTTTAATATTCTATTACATAATTAATTTCTTTTAAAATTGCAGTCTACAACGGATAACATTATCCAATTGCGTAACAAAATATTCCAGAGATAAACATATAGTGTCTTTTTAGTTGTTAGCTGGCAGAAAAAAAAGAAACTTGCTGCGCTCGGAATCCCTAGATATGTTGCTTCTGGAAGTCATGAATATAAAAATACAAAATATCGATTTCTAGTAATAGATCGATACGGAAAAGATTTATGGAAAATATTTGAGGAAAATAACAAACAGTTTCCAGAACACGTAGTATATAAACTGGCTTTGCAAATAGTAAGACAATTGTAAAAAAAATATTTGTAGTAAATAACTGCTTGAAGAAAATATAATTTATGTGTTATTCTAATAAATTTCTAGATAGATATATTGGAATATATTCATCACAAGAACTATGTACATGCTGATATCAAAGGTGAAAATTTGCTACTGGATCTGCATTCCTACGATCAAGTCTATTTAGTTGACTTTGGTTTAGCTTCTCGTTGTACATCGAGCACTGAATTAAAAGTTGACCCAAAGAAGGCACATAATGGTACTTTACAATACACAAGCAGAGATGCTCATATGGGAGGTAAGAATTAGAAATTTCAATAAAATTTAGCAATTTTAATACTTAACGCAATTTATCAATTTCTTTTGAATATAAATTATAAAAATCATTATACTTTAAATATGTTTTTTTTGCTTTTTTTAGTTCCAACACGTCGTGGAGATATTGAAATTTTAAGTTACAACATAATTATGTGGTTATGTGGTTCGCTGCCATGGGGAAAGTTACTTGAACCAGTTACCGTTCAAAAAGAGAAGGAAAAGGCTTTTAATAACATAGACAGTTTCTTGGCCAAGTGTTTTCATGGATCTGTTCCACAAGCTGTACATAAATTTATGACTTTATTAGCCAGTATAAAATTTAATGAAACACCGTCTTATGAAAAATTGAAAGAAATATTAATAGCTGGCATAAAGAAACTGAATCATAAACCAGATGGGAAATTAAAATTGAACAACATTAGCGTGGCAACTCAACAAGCTACCTCTAAATATACTCCACAGAAAATTAAAAAACCCGTAAATGGAATCAGAAAGAGTCCTCGTACGAAATGTTTAGATGTTCCAAGTGCAAACATTCCTATGGCAAACTCAAGAAAAAGTACTATAGGTGTTGTAATTGACAAAAAACGTTGTAATATAAAGGATATTGAGAAAGCATTAGATGATATGGAGTCTGATGGTGAATATGATATACAAATTCTTAAAAAAGCGAAAAAAGAATCTACTGAAAAAGCGAGTCAGATAACGAAGAATACAGCTTCATCACGTCGAAAAAAGATTTTAATCGATTCAATCAAAGATGACTCTGAAGATGATTCTGAAGATGATTCTAATATAGAGGTAATTTTAGTAATCTATCTGAAAAAGGAGTGCATCACTCTTAATTTAATATTCAGACTTTTTTTGTTATTAAAATACTTACTTTTACCATTCTAGCCGTCACCAAAACGTCCAAATAAGACACAACGGAAAAAGCCGGTTACAAATAAAACAAGACGAAAGATCATGTCTTCGAATGATTCAGAAACTTCTGAGCCTGAGGTAATAAAATTTATATATTTAATCCTCAAAAGCCACATTGGGGTGTCAAGGACCCTAACGAAATTTTGGAACTACGTTTGGAACAATCATTTTTATTTTTTAATGTGTATTTTTTGATGATAATTGTTTTACAACTTCTGAGATTGCCATTATAATTCTGAGACAATTTACGATTGATTGGAAAAAAAAAAAAAAAAACTACGTTAATTTTTCGAAACTTGGAGCGAAAAATGACTGGAAAAAATTCCAGACTCTAATGTGGCTTGCGAGGGTTAATTAATAGACTTGTATTTTTCTGCGATTTATATAAATAAAAATTCAATCAATATGTAAATAATATATAAATAAGTATTTAATATATCAGAGGTAATCTTTTTTCGCCAGTTAACAAAAGAGACGGTTTAATTCGATCCAACTCTATTTATTAATATAATACTCAGATACACAACGTCTCAACCATGATTTGTGATCCTTATCAAATGTAAACTAAGTCATAAATTTAAAATGTGGCTATTCAAACTGGAGTTTGTTGGCTTTCGGATGGTCTTGACCGTTCTCTTTGTGCTCTGTGTACATCGAGACGAATTGCGATGCCGCGCCGGATTCTTTGAGACTATGTTACCGTTGCAAGAAGCCCTTTTTTACCTTCGATGACATATGCAACATATAAATCCGTAATTTAAATTATTTTAGTTTTATTATCAATTTTTCTAATTAAGATGTTTCGTAGAATAGCTACATTTTAAATTTATGACTTAGTTTACACTTGATAAGGACCACAAATCATGGTCGAAACATTGTGTATTTGAGTATTATGTTTATAAATAGCAGTTGGATCGAATTGAACTGTCTCCTTTGTTATTTAATATATATTCAATATATGTTTAGATTGTATCAAAAGGAACAAAATCAAGACCTGCTGCGACTGCTAGTAGGAGTAAGGTAACCAATAGGATGAAATCCAATAAAAGAATACCTAAAAGTGAAACTCATTCAGATGAAGATATGTTTGACATGTAGTTTCACGAAGAATAAAATAACAAAGTAAAATTATATATGGTATTTTTACTGAAAATGAAATCATATAACTTGCATTTATACATTTATATTCTTTTGTACATGGTCTCTTACGCATTTAACATTAATAATCACCAATAACATTACATGTTGATCATGATAACGCTAATGACAATATTATCTCAGGTTTTTGTATATATGTGAATAGTTTTCAAAAATGAAAAGAATTTGAATTATAAAACTGTTATGATAGTTATAAAAACTGCTCTTATTTAATAAAATAAAATGTTGAATGCACGTTGCTGAATGTTATTTATTCTTATATATACTGAATATAACAAGGTCTTTAATTTCTTTTTTCTTAGTTACAATATAATCACAGAAATAAAAAATCGTTTGGGGAATTAATTCAGTTTATTATATTCGGCATGTAATATTTATCAGACGTCTTCCTATGTTTTCAAATAATAAAATTCCAAAATGAATTAATCGGAGGGTTATAAAGTTATACTGCCTTAAAAAGATTTTACGTATTTACATATTATACACATATATCTACTATATCCAAACTTGAGTATTTGGATTGAATATTTGTGATAATTGTTATTAATAGTAAATAATAGACTTTACACTTTCTTGTTAAGAAAAATACATAATTAATATGTTTGCAATTAATATTCATTAAATATTATCTGTTTGAAAAAAATTCGCAATTCCCTTAAAAGTAAATTTGTGTTGCCAATAATTAAAAATCATTTATTTGAATTTAAAATTAGCACTCTTCAAACATTTATTTTTTTAGCTTTTGAATCTGAGGGGCGCTTATTTTCACTTTTCCAGGTATATTTCTGGCTATTGTCTCATCCTTAATTGCCTTTAGTAGATCTTTTTCACGTGAAGAAATTTCTTTGTCTCTAAGAAATACGGCTATAGCTGTTTTGGCAGCTTTGCCTCTCTTACCAATGCCAGGTGTCAATTTCACCTTAAATCTGAAATAAATATTGAAATGAATATTGAAATGTTATAAATAAAAAGTTATATTAAGCGTTTTATGCAATCACTTACTTGTAATTTTGTAAGGTATTATAAGGCGCCACCACAGGAACAGCAAACAGTAACTCGTCTTCTGAAAACGGCTTTCCTGTTAATTGATCGAGCATATCAACTTCAGGAACTGGACCTGCGTCTTCGTCGTCAACGTTATCTACCACATACATAGATTGCGGTGGAATATTTGGTTTTGGATTTGTCTTTTTCTTTCCTTGTTGCTTCGGACCTGATGGATCTTTAGCCCTATTTTTTCTTTTATCTTCTTTAGCTGCGCCTGCCGACTGAATAATTGGCAAAAATGTATATTCGATTAAATGAATAAAATTAGAGAGCAAGTACTAAGTAAAATTGAAAGAGAGAAAATAGAACCTGCAAGACGAGCATTGAAAGTCGTCTATCTTCCTCATCCTGATCTTTATATTTTTCTTTTATTTTCTTTAGTTTCCCCTTTTGTCCTCGTTTTAATGCAGGTTGCTCTCCTTTTTTGTTATCACTTTCATTTTTATCATTCTTTTCAATCTTTTCCGTTGATTCTATTGATTCTGTTCGATGTACTTTTTGTTTCGCCTTTGCATTTTTCTCCATAGTCGATGCATTTATTATAACAGGCTTATCATCCCCTAAATAAACTACGTTTTCTTTCGTGTCCTTTTGAGATTGTATCAAGGGCTGATTATTGTCAACGTGTAATTTTACCCTGTTCAATGTAAAATATCATATATGTAGCATTTGATTTTAATTTATAATCGAAAATTTTATATAAACTTACTTTGGGCCTGAAAGATCAATTTTAATTTGTGTATCAGGAAATTTATATTTCGTGTCTTCTTCATCTTGTTCACATGCATCTTTCTCAGCATTATCTGTTGTGTGGGATTCTGATTCCCCATCTTTTTCCTGGTCCTCTTCTTGAATTGGATTTAATGTATCTCTATTTTCTAGATTTTCATCTAACATTAAAAGTTTTTACAAGTTTTTGAAAATGTATTAACAATTAAAGAATAATTTAATTAAATGTTATATGATTTTCTACGTCATTTACCTTCGTCCGAATCACCTTCTAACTCTATTTCCTTGTCATCTTCAACTACCGAATCCGCTTTTTCGCTTTCCTCGTCTACTGTTTTCACCCTTCTCTCATCCTTGTGTCGTTCTATGGAACTGTCCTCCAGGCGAAACATGATAGCCAATCCCATAATTAATTGACTTTGCGTCAAATAATTCTTTTTTCCACGTATCATGAAGGATCCGGTAGTAAGATATTCTCCGGTAGGCGCACTCTTGGATACTTGATCATGATGCACCCACCATGCACTAGCTATTACTTTCGAATCCCATGCTATGCTATGAACATAATATTAATCATGTTTACATACATCTTTATAATAATACTTTGAAATAATACATGTATATGTAAATTTGATAGTTTTACCGTTGTAAAAATAAAAACCGTCATAACTATGTACCTGTATGCAACAGCCATTGTACCTGCCTCTGCTAACGATTTTGGCGGTACAGGATTGCCACTGGGATTTTTTATTACGACAGAACTAGCACCAGTTAAATCTGCGTGAACATATAAATCTCCCGCCTTTAGATATCTTTTCACTATCAACTCGTTCTGCTGTTGATCTCTCCCTCCAATCACTATATATTCATATGTCAAAGTTAGTAAAATTTCGATGTAAATTCAACGTAATTATTAAAAGAAAAACGTACCTAAGTAATTTTCAGACGTAATAAACCAATAAAATTTTTCAAACCAATATGTCTTTCTTAATTTATTAATGGTATGTATGGTTTGCACTTCTTTCAATGTTTGCTTTGTCTTCTTTTCCGCCGACTTCAAAGCTTTTCCATGGGATTCTATCGTTTTTTGTTGCTTCTTTGCAGCTGTTTTCTTTTGACTGTAGTACTTTTTGGCATTACTGAATGCTGAATGAGCCAAATCTATATCAATCATCATAGGTTTGAGCTCAGATTCCTCGTCACTGTCTTCATAAGGATCGTGCAATAGCAGAGCAATATGATTTGTTTCTAATTTTAATTGTTTTATAGCAGAAGCGACCGGGTCACCACTGGCTTGAGCTTCTTTCAATAAAATTTGAATGTCCGGCCAAGACATCTGATTTGCCAAGGCGCTTTGTATGGCTAATATAGCGTTATCCACTAAAGCCTGATTCCTTGAGATCAACTCTGCTTTTTGTTTATCTACCTCCTGCGTCTTTTCCAACGTAATCAGTCTCTGACTATGATCCTTTCTTACTCTTTCTAATTTTTGCAGAGCTTCTCTTTCCTGTTGCAAAGCCTTCAAATCTATCTTTTGTCCTTCCATCGTAGAGAAATATTCATCCACTGCGACGTCAAAAGAATCAAACTCCTTGTATGGTTGCTTATTATATTGCTCGAACAAGAAAGGATGAAATTCAATGTTAGTGAATATAAAATCTTCCTTGCCATCTGGAGTCAGTTTCGATTCTTTTTTCTGTATAACATAGCCTTTTGAGATATTGTTCTTTGCATGATCCATCATGTTATTTGCCTCCTCGAGCGCTAGGATTAATTTTGGCATATCTTCAGTGATATTAAAATCCTTGCCGATTTTGCAACCAAGATTAAATCCGGCTTTAAGCAAAACATGATCGATCACAGCTGCGCCAAATTCTAATAGTGGATTTAACACTTTTTTAAGACTATCTCCCGCCTTAGCTTTCTCAATATGCTCATGTATTACATCTATAGGTGGCATAGTCGTGGAATGAGCTTTATCTAAGGGATATTTCTCTTTCACTGCAATTCTAAACATTATATGATTTTATCAGTACTTTATATGATGACATATGTGTTTTACGTTATAGACACATTTTGTACATTTACCTAATCTTATCTCCTTCTGTATGAGGCCTTAGCACATATAAAATTACCATTTCATAATCAGTGAGGATTATATTACCACGATCGTACACTTCTAAAATTACGTGGTAGGCAGCTTCACCACTTCCAAATTGTAACTTTATTATCCGATCCGTACCAACTTGCATAAGACTCTCTAATCTTTTATTTTTAAGATGTTTGCGCATCTGCAAGAACACAAGATATATTCATCGTTATTAGCAGAGCTATTATATGTATAATTTTTTAATTAATTTAATTATTATTTAGCACATACCTTCATGGAGAAACCTGAAGGAGCCACATTCTTCGGCCACTCAAAACCTGTCGTGTGGATTCTGTTACCAGATTCGAGCAAAAGAACGCATTTTTCCTCGCTCCGCTGAAGACGTATGAGATACGTACGGTGATCTATATCGTATATTTGATTGACACGCATGCCAATAAGCCTGAAAGTTTTTACAAGGTTAAAAATAATTTGGAAAACTTGTGTTAACCTGTTAATATCATGATATCATATAATTCATATCCACGTTTATTTAGCAATGAGAACTAATTGCGATTGATTTAAGTATCTATTGAAATAAAATAAAATTGATTATATGTATTTTTTAAGGTAAATTACATATTTTGAGAAGTGGAAATTTTGGTCATAACCTGAACACGTTATTAAAATCAAGTCACATTCTTCTATAATCTTTCTCTCTTACCTTTGTAGTTCAGTAACTGAACATACGAGATCGTAAGTGTTAAATCGCGTCTTCATTTTTAGGTAGGTTGTGCTTTCTCTTTGAAAAATTTATCGAAAAACACAGTGACAATTTAACACACTTGACAGTTTATCCTACGTCGCTGGCTTGCACAATATGACGCTACTCGGGACCACTTGTGTAGAATGAGCGAAAAGTCACGTCATATGCGCAAATAAAATATAGATAAACATTTATCGAAAATTTGTTACGAAGTTAATCTTATCTATAAATCATATTCTTATCCGTCAAATTTTGTTGAGACTTATCTTTCTTCTTTCTCTCTCTCTCTCTCTCTCTGAGATGGGTATATATAAACTCTCTCTTTCCCTCTCTCTCTTATAACTTTCTAAGTATGGAAAGTAAACACAATTAAAAAAGAGAAATAATTGTCTTCAGTTTTAAAAATAGAAAAATACAAAATAGAAGTAGAATTTATGTCTGTTATAAAGATTACTTTGTGTTGATTTGAAAATTTCAGAGAAAAGTTATTTAGAAGTTACAATAATCCTATATATATAAAAAATATATATATATATACACACCTCAGAGGTAAAGAATCGTACCTACATTAGAAATTGAGAAAAAACAGGGTTTAAAGTTTATTTCTATGAAAATTTCCAACTTGTTCTAAACATTATATCTTACAATTAGTAATAATAGGCACAAGACCCTTTACCATTATACAATGCAAACTCCTGGTATGTTGGAAAAAGTAAATTAACTCTATTTTGACAAAAACTGAAGGTACCATTCTTTACCTCTCAAGTTTAAGGTACAGATATATATCTACTATCAGTAATGTAGGAAATGAGCAAAGAAAGATAGGATACATATATTTAAATGTTTTTTTTTTATTCAATAATATGAATAAGATGTAAACTGCAGATATTAACGATAAGATTTCTGGTATCGCGCTCTGGCACCCGGACCACCGAACTTCTTTGGCTCGCACCTCCTTGGGTCGGCAACAAGGAGAGTACGATCGTATTGGATAAGAATGTCCTTCACCTCCTTCTTGCTAGCTTCATCAACATCTGAAAAATCAACATTATTGTTAATAATTTAATAAATTGTACAACTGCATACTCGTCGTCAATTTATGCTTACACTTTTGATAGTAGGCAACGAGAGCTTTGGAAATAGCCTGTCGAATGGCATAGATCTGGGCAACATGACCACCGCCGTTTACCCTCACTCTGATATCGACTCCGGAGAACTTTTCCTGGAACACAAACGGAAGCATCGCCGTTTTCAAAAGTTGTATCTTGCTCACGCCCATGGCAACTCGAAGACGAGATCGCTTTCAGAATCTACTGCTAATCATGAACCATCATGTTCGGAATAAGTAGAACATCACGGACCGAGCTACAAGTATTTGCGACAAATTCGTGTGACAATTTGCACCGCGTTGCTCCCAACGTTTTCTCCACGATCGGGCTTCAAGGGTCACCAAAAGGTGGGCAGCGTTCCCCTGCGTCACTCACCTTGCCGAGCAGCAGGATGGGCTCCTGCAATTTGTACTGCAACACGCGGGGTTCCACCAGCTCCAGCGGCCGGCCGTTGACGCGGAGATTTCCACGGCCACGCTTGCAGTAGGCGACCGCGGTCGCGCTTTTCTGCAACAAGAGGATTCACATTAGACACACGCCGCGCGTTAGCCACGCGTGGACACCTAACCTCTCAACCGCGCTCCAGCTCACCTTGCGTCCGAACACCTGCACGGAGTGGATCGGTTCCTTTTGTTTCTGAAAGAGGAAGGCGGTTCGATCAGTA